ATTATCACAGCAAAATCAGATTAGGAATAATTCAAGTACTAATAATGGAAATAATATTATTGGTTCAATTGTTAAAGTGAAAAGAACTAGAAAAACTGTGCCAAGAGACTCTCCACCTCAACGTAGCTCCATTTATCGAGGAGTCACAAGGTTTAATTTATTTTCTACAATTATATTATTTCATGTCGATTCTTATTTTGTATCTTCATGTTGTATATGTTCAAGTATGTAGTCGTTGAGATTTGAATTCACGATCTTTTGCATGCACTAATATCATAATGTTGAAACGTGTCATGACTCATACATTCATACATGGTATCAAAACAAACAAACAAAGGTTCTCAGTTTAAATCTCATTATCACACGTTATTTTATATCTTCATGTTGTATATGTTCTTATTTTGTTCTTTAAATTGTTGATGTTTTGTTCTTTAAATTGTTGATGTTTTGTTCAAGTATGTGGTCATTATGTTTGCACTAATATCATCATGTTGAAATATGTCATGACTTACGTACATTCGGTACCAAAGCAGATAAATGTACTGAGTTTAAATCTCACTGTCATACATTATTTTGTATCTTCATATTGTATATGTTCTTGATTTTCTTCTTTAAGTTGTTGATGTTTTTGTTCAAGTATATATATGGTCGTTGAGACTCGACATAATTTACGACCTTCTATGTTTGCACTAATATCATGTTAGAAATGTGTCATGACTCACACATTTAATTATGATATCAAAGCAAATAAATATTCCGAGTTCAAATCTCATTGTCACACATTATTTTGTACTGGTATATATATGTTCTTGAATTTGTTCTTTAAATTCTTGATGTTTTTGTTCAAGTATGTGGTCATTGAGACTTGATCAATTCACGACCTTTAGTCTGTACTAATATCATAATGTTGAAATGTGCTATGATTCACACATTCAAATATATATGATGCTAAAGCAGAGACAAACGTCCTGAGTTCAAATCTCACTGCCACAGATTATACAAGATAGATTTCCACGTGCTAAATCATGAAAAATAACTATTGGTTGCACGTACATGAGGAGTCGTATTGAAAATATTATTAAATAATAGTTTAAATTTTTAAATGAGATTATCGCACACTTTAACTGTTATTTATTCAGGCATCGATGGACGGGTAGGTATGAAGCTCATTTATGGGATAAGAATTGCTGGAATGAATCTCAGAACAAGAAAGGAAGACAAGGTTCATAATTTAAATTTTTTTCTCCCACCATTTTATTTTTCAATTTAATTAATTCTCTAAGCTGCTAAACTAATTGACTTTTTTTTTGTGAAATGGTGGACTCTAATGGAAATAATGCAGTTTATCTTGGTATGTATCATTATTTAAATTTTCTTGATTTTATATTTATTTGGTAAGTGAATAATAAATTTAATTAAAACTATTATTTTTAGGTGCTTATGATGATGAAGGAACAGCTGCTCATGCTTATGATTTGGCTGCACTTAAATACTGGGGAAGTGAAACCATTCTTAATTTTCCGGTAATTAATAACTCATCTTAATTAAATTCTTTTTTTATTATTTTATAAAACAGTCATTCACAAACTAATATATAAAAAAATTCGAAGATAATTGAAATTGTTATATATTTCAACATGATACTAGATCAGATATATGTCACGAGTTTGAGTCTCACTATCATTTATTATTTAAAAGAATCTTCACGTACTTGACTTATACTTGACTTATGAAGAATCAAATTCGCACGTGAGAAAAAATCAAATATTTGGATCAACAATATAATAAGCAAACATTTTTGATTGTGTAAAAATATTTATCAAGTAAATCTTTAAAATTACGTAATTCTCTAATAACATAAGATTTTATATGAAATAATCGATCATATATTTCGAATATTGATATTATCTTATCCTTTTAGGTATCAACTTATGAAAAGGAAATCCTAGAAATGGAGAATCAGTCTAGAGAAGAATATATTGGATCATTGAGAAGGTAAGTTAATTAACTTGAGTACTAAATTAATGTTATTTTATTTTCACTTAGAGGGGAAAAAAAGTTTTTTAATTATTTGTTTGATTAATCAATTGGTATAATATATAGGAAAAGTAGTGGATTCTCAAGAGGGGTTTCAAAATATCGTGGAGTTGCAAGGTATCAAATATAATTAACGATATTTTGTAATATTATTGTTTTGATTTGTTCCAACTGAGCATTTTATTCATCGATCGATCGCAGACATCACCATAATGGAAGATGGGAAGCTCGAATAGGCAGAGTTTTTGGCAATAAGTATCTTTATCTTGGAACATATGGTAAGTACCTTTTTATAAACATGTATATTAATTACCTAATCATACTCATTTCAAAGCTAGTATAAAAAAATATTACTATTTTAATTTATTGTAATAACTAACCAGTCTTTTTTTCAAGGGAGAAAAGACAAATATACCCCAAACTATCGTAAATGGTATGCAGATACCCTCGTCATACTTTTGGGACATTGGTTCCCCTATCGTTCAAAAACTAGAGCATATATATCATTTATACTAACGGACATACACGTGTCATAATCTTATTCACCGACCGACATTTATTAAATATTGAATCGACGGATAAGATTGTTCTACGTGTCCCTATTTAGTATTTCGTTAGAGTGAATGGTATATATGCTCTAGTTTTTGGATGGCAGAGCATCAATGTCCCAAAAATATGACGGAGGGTATCTACATACCATTTACGATAGTTTGGATATATTTGTCCTTTTTCCCTTATTTTAAAGTAATTAATCTCACAAGTCATATGTTATATATATATATATATTAGATAAATCAATATATAACCCATAATCACAATATACATGAATACTAGTTTGCAATACTAGATAAAAAAAAATGTCACATTTAAATAATTGTGAGAATCCTTAATCTATGACATTAAAGATATATTTTTATTTAATTAATTATTTTATTAACCTGATTCTTTTTCATAGCCTAATTAAACAGGTGAAAATTAAATATATATTTTTTTGATAGCTTTTTTTTAATTTTGTGTTTTAGCTACACAAGAAGAGGCTGCAACTGCATATGACATGGCAGCTATTGAATATCGTGGACTAAATGCTGTGACCAATTTTGACCTTAGTCGTTACATCAAATGGCTAAAACCTAATAAGAACAATCAATCAAACCCTAATGTTGAAACTAACATGATTCCAACTCCAAATCATAGTAATGGATCGACCACGATCACAACCACGACAACAACCTCATCCTCTATAGGTCTTGTTTATCCCGATCTACAACTTACTACAAACATGCCTATTTCTGATGTCTCAGTCTCTCAAAGTCGACCATCTTCTGCTACGTCAGCTCTCGGACTATTGCTCCAATCTACGAAGTTCAAGGAAATGATGGAAATGACATTAGCTGTCGAGTGCCCGCCTGCACCGATCGAATTGCCCGACCCGGACCCACCACAAAGTAGTAGCTTCCCTGAGGATATAAAAACTTATTTTGATACTCAAGAATTTGGTAATTTTGGTCATGATCAAGGAGAGGATTTGGTCTTTAATGAGATCAATTCCTTAATGCAACCCCTTTTGCAATTTGATTATGATGCTTAATTAGTCAAAGATAAATTGATATAGTGTCAATTTTCTTTTATTAATTTTTTATATATACATATGGTTGAGGAAATAATGGGAAATTCTTATCTAGGAAGTGTTTACTAGCTCTAGAGACACTTCCTATATAAGTATTTTCCAAATGTGATTTAGGTATAACAAAAATTGAGGAGAATATGTATTGATTATTGGAGAATATTATTTGTAGATAGATGAAATAATTTGCTTAATTCTCATCAACATTAATATTTAAGTTGTTTATTATGATCATTTGAAATAATAAATATTTGTAGTTTTTTTCTCATGTCTCATTTTACGTAAATTAATTATCGCAAGTCATTTTCTCTTTAATTGTATTAAAGTTGTGTGGTTGGAGGAGTTTGACATTGATTCATATCGTGCATGTGTACTAGATGGTATGTGTCCGTGCGTGTGCCTGAGCTAAATATTTATCTATTTGTAGTTGTATGAAATTATGTTGGAATTAATGGAAATTTGAAAGTTGTGAAAACATATTTATTGATTAGTTATAACATGTTATTAATCTTATTTTACTTTTAAAAAAATTATATCAAATCAAAATCCAACACACTCTTGATAGAAAAAGTAAATATTTTCATTAAAAAGGAAGAAATAATTATGCATCTCAAAAATAATTTTAAATATATTCACAACTCTGCATTTTTAAAAACTAAAAGAGTACGCTTTAAATAAAAAATAAAAAATTTAAGGTCTTCAATTTATTTTCGACTTTAGGCCACTAATATGCTTGAGCCAGCCCTTTAATATCCAAAACATGAGGAACCTTAGTAATTCCCTTTTAAATAGAAACTATTTCATATTCTATAAAAACTTATCCGTATAAAGTTCTTTTTTATGTTTTTTTCTAAAAAAATTCGTATCGATTAAAATCCCACAAACAATTAAAACAAATGAAATACTATTATTAGAAAAAAGTAAACCTTTTTATTAAAAATTAAAAAAAAAATAACTTTACATCTCAAAAATAATTTAAAATATATTAATAGTTCCGCAATTCTAAAAACTAAAATGCCGCTTAATGGCAAACAGTTTGGACCGGTACTAGCTTGTACGTACCCTGTTAGCTAACTTGTTCCGGTAAAAGTACGGTAGAATTCATATTTATAATTTGCCTAAATTAATCTTTTCCTTTCTAATCCAAATTACAAATTAAAGTGGGATTATCAAAATTAATCTTTCCATATTAAATTCTATTTCTCTAATCCAAATCATACATTACGTAGGATAACCAAAACATTCCTATAGATACACTCAATTCTCTCTGATTCTTTATTTCACAAACCCTAAAATTTATACTATAGTCTTTCTCTACTTATTTATTTTTTGAATTGTTATGGCTTTATCAAATTATGAATATGATCGTCAATGGAAGAATATATTACCAATAGGCTTCCATTTTGTGCCAACGGATGAAGAATTGGATATGTATTTGAAACTTAAAGGTTCTAATGGTTATATTCCACCTGGAATTTTTACTGATCTTGATATTTATGAATATGAACCTCATCAACTATCTGGTACACATTCTTATCCTTAGCTAGCATTTTTTTTAGTTAAAAAAAATTCCTCCTGATTTATGGATTTTTTTAAAAAAAATTCTTGATGAATTTGTTGGGTATTTGTCCTGAGTTTCTTACCATAAATGTAAAGTCTTTATATTTGGCTAGTCTGTATTTCTTCTAATTTAATCGGCATTCACAAACCCAGAGACTTTGTGAGTTTAATTTGTGGGATATCACTAGCTTATACCAGCTGCACAAGGACACTTCTATGTTATTTATGGATGCACTGTTAATTGTATCTTACTTTCTGCTAGTTTCTTAAGATAGATATACATATATACACATGATTTTTTTTTAAGTTAATAGGTGCACGTGCACCCTCACCAACCATGTGGATCCACTTCTGACTTGTGTGAACCTCTTTGTATTCCAAATTTAAAGTTTTTATCACGATTTTATTGATTAAGAATATTATACTAATTTGAGTTTATTTTGCTTGCTAGGGTTTGCTGAAAAACATTGGAATGGACGTATGTATTTCTTTACTTTATCAAAAAAGAAGTTTGGTAATGGAAATAAAATTGCAAGAAATTTACATTCAGGAAAAGGTTATTGGAAATCTACACAAGCACGTAAAGATATAGCAAAAACCAATAATACAATTGGAACAAAAACTCCTCTTGCCTACTTTAAATCAAGTCCAAATAATTCAAAAGGCAAAAAAACTTCTTGGCTTATGTCAGAGTATAGATTTCCTACCAATTCTCCACTACTAAACAATGAGGTATGTAAACTTTTTATTTAATTTCCTTCTTATTTTTCAAGTAAATTCTATGATTATATTTGACTAACTTTTTTTATTTTTATTTTTATAGTCAGATTATGAGTTAACACTTTGTGTGATATACGATCAAAGTCGAAAGAAGAATGACGACGACAACGATAACGATAATGACAATGATAATGATAATGACGATGATCAAATTTTTAATAAATCATCGTGGTCAGATGAACATTCTTCTTCGTTGCAACAATATCAACCACTCATAAATATTACTGACATTGCTTCCACTTCAACCATGCAACCAAGTTTTTCTCATCAACTACCCTATGGTGTTTTGGACAATTTTGATAATAATTATTCAAATGGACAAAATCATGATTTTCATGGATATGATCCAAATATATATCCATATCTCAATTATGACAACTTTACTTATATAGGAGATGAGAAAATAGGTGATATTTCAAATAGTAATCTTGTTGATTCTATTGATCAAAATACATTGGAAATATGTGTGGCTCCAGTTTCTCAAGATGATCAAAGACCATCAACTGATAACCAAGATTATGATCATCAACAACTGAAGATGAAGAAGATCAAAAGATAGAAATTTAGACATAGGTTATGATAAAGTTTTACATATATATATATATATATATATATATAACGTATTGATTTATTTGAAAGAATAATGCATACTATTTGTGTTTATACATGTACATTTAAATTTTAATATGAAATATCCTATATGGTAGTGCTAAGTACTATTGTTGTCCACACTCTCAAGTAACTAGCTTTTGTTTTCATGTATATTTGCATGTACACAATTAAGGGGTAAGGTCACAAAAATGTTTTCTTACGTATTTTTAAATTTGGAAAGCGATTGATTATCTTTATCTTGGGGCGGCTCAAGCATATCAGAAGCCTAAAGCCAAAAAATGATATATTGGAGCCCTTAAACTTTTTTTTATCTATTTGAAGTCTATTCTTCTAGTTTTTTTTAAGAGAGTTGTTAGTATATTTGAAATTATTTTTGAGATACAAAGTTATTTATTTATTTTTAATGAAAATATTTACTTTTTTTTTCTATAACACTAGTACTCCATCCGATTCTATTATTTGTGAGATTTTGACTTGACACGAAATTTTAAAAAGTACAGAAGATTTTCGAATATTATAGTTTAAAACTAACGATATCTGTAATACACCAAAATATTCTTTAATCTTGTGATCTTAAACATGAAAGAAGAACGAAACTAATGAAAAATATATAGTATCAATTGTTAATGCAACCAAGACATATTCTAAATTATTAATTGATATGAAGTAGCACACAAAGACAAAACTTGAAAACAAGAATATTGGAATCTTAGAAAATTGAATGCAAGTGCTTTTAGATTTCTTTCTTTGCTTTGCATGAAAGTTTCTTAAGACTTAAGTTAACCCACAAATTCCTCCATATTTCTCATTATAACATCCCATTCAATCCATATTATTTTTGCCATCTAATTGCATAAATTAAGTTAACAAATTAAAGAAATACTTATTAATTAATTATTATGGCTGATGATGAACAGAGGAAGCCAACTACCAGAAGAACACCTCTTAGCCAAATAGATGAGGTATGTATTATACTTTTTTATACTCTAATCTTGTGTTTAAAATTTAATTCTTGTTGTATGGTGTGACAGAGCCAAGATTTTTACTTAGGAGAATCATAATATAATTTAGGTAAAAGACTGAAATATGTCATCGAACTTTGAGAAAATACTCATTTATGTCATCCATTAAAAGTTTGGATCACCATTCATCTATGTCATTATTTGTTAACTGAAACGACATAGATGAGCCAAACTTTTAATGGATGACATAGATGAACATTTTCTCAAAGTTTGATGACATATTTGAGCCTTTTTCTTTTAAAAAAATGATTTAATTAATGGCGTCGTCATATCATAATTAACCACGTGTAAAAGATGGTTTTGTAAAATAGAAATTGTTTTCCATTAACAAATAATGGCATGGATAAGCATTTTCTCAAACAAAAATGACATAGATGAGCCAATTTTTTAACGGATGACATATATAAACCTTTTTCTCAAAGTTTGATTACATATTTGAACTTATTCCCATGTAATTTATACCTTGCAAGAAAATTTGACATATATATGTACATATATACATAAAAAGATTATTATTTTTTGCGACTAACGAAAAAGGAATTAACAATTTGCATGGAAATTAATGAATGTGTGATATTTCAGGAAAGGGTATGTATTATGTTGTCTATGGATGAAAGTGAAAGTGAAGATGAAGAAATTACTGCCTCTGATGAAGAATTTTTAGACAGTGAGATTCAAGGTAATTAATTAATTTAATTACCTTATTCTATAAGAAAGTAATCAATGGTCTCGAGTTCAAGCCTTTGAGATATGAAATCGCCTTTGTTTGTAGATTTTGAGTTAGAGTTCTACGACGATGAGTATGATGACGATAACATGGAGGAAGATGATGTCGATCCAGATGAATTATCTTATGAGGTATATAATATGATAATTTGTAATGTTTAGTTCAAAAAATACATGAGATTTACTTAAGTATATAAATGTTGTTACAGGAATTAATTGCTTTAGGAGAATTTGTTGGAGTAGAGAACAGAGGATTAACTGAAGAAGAAATCAACAAATCCTTACATTCTTCTACATTTCAATCCAATAATTCCAAGACACTTGTCGACAAGTAAGTGGTCAAAAATTAGATATTAACCCAAAAAAGAGAAAAAATTAAATCATTCATATAATAATTTTAGTTATTTTTTTCACGTGGTCAACATGACATATAAGACGTGATTATCACCTCTTGGCCATTAGAATTTCTTTGGTTTCCCACCTGGAGTTTGATACTGACATTGGCGTCGATTGACTAATCTGTTTGCATCATGTAAGGTCTATTTAAGGAAAACGCTTTGACTGAATAATTTATAACACATTGAAAAAGTGATTATTTTTGGATGAATATATAGGTGTGTTGTGTGTCAATTGGACTATGAAGAAGGAGAAAAGTTAGTAGCACTTCCATGTGATCATCCCTACCATTTAGATTGTATAAACAAATGGCTCCAAATAAAGAAGGTAATTTAATTGTTAAATACTCCTAATTTATATTTTTAGCCAATTTTTTGATGTTTAATACTTCTATATATTTTTCTTTTGCAGGTTTGCCCCATATGTAGTGATGAGGTCTCAACTACTAATGTTCCCAAGGAACTATAGCTCTATGTCACTTGTATTAAAAACCAAATTATTGTATTGAAATTAGTCAAAAGATTTATTGAATGTGTCAAGGGAAATTTGGAACATGGATTAAATGCACAAATTTTTCAAAAAATATTGTACTAACATAATTTGTATTTGAATTGAAGGGTATGACCTTCATTTTCTCTGTTTATAGATGTAATGTTCATGTTTATCTTTGTATATGAACTTTCACCTTGTTTAGAAAACAAACAACTTTCGTTTCTAAGCTGACTAGAGATGGATTCAGGATTTTGAATGTATGCGTTCCTACAACGATATGACATATATTTATAGATATTTTAGTAAATTGTTGGTTTCATGGGAACTTGTAATTAACCTTCTAGATCCAATCCTAAATGCTTGCTTGAATTTCAAAGAAGATTTGGAACATATACAACAGGATGGACTTGGAAAGCCTATAAAGAAGAACAAAAGAAACTTTCTAGTTTCTACAAAAAGAAAATAGTATAGTACAAGTAAAAGGTAAAACATGCTCTCTTTTATGACCTTGGTGTCCGAGCCAACTTACATGCACCGCGACTATTCCAGGGGTACCTGCTATCTCCCAACAACACATGTACCATATAACTCTATCCATCAAAACTTGAACAGGTGTGACAGAATTCACCTAGTCATGTTTTGACATCTAATGATCCTAAGTAAGTCTTTTCATGCTATAAAACAGAACAATGCTCCCTTGAATTTCAAGGAAGATTTGGGGGCATATACAATATCATGGACTATCAAAACCTAAAAAGAAAGAATAATAAAAAACTCTCTAGAAAAATAAAATAAAAGAGTACTATAGTACAAGTAAAAGGCAAAAACAGCCTTTTTCTTCCCCTTTCACATCAACCACCTCCAACTTATGTTTGATTAGACTCTTCAAAAATGGCGATGGGTGTGTTTCTGATCCTCCAAAAGTAGTACATTTTCGGAGGATCTTGAACGGCAACATAGCCTCCAATCCTATATGACTATATCCACTTAGACTTTTCATTTGTCTATGTCTATTTACATGTTGTGGTTTATCCCCTTTTGCCTGTCCATTACTTGCATGAAAATTGCAAAAGGACTAAAAGGTGTCTTAAGTTTCTTCAGAAAAAATATGTGGACATGATTCCCATTTACCAGTTTCTCTAGCTTCCCAATATCCTCCTCTATACTGATATGTATCACTACCTTTTGGCTTTCTAAACCACCTTGGTTTCCACCCTTTTTCCTGCATCTGTGATGCCTGCATGACAACAACTTGTCACGCGAAAAACCTCACTCATCCGCGAAGAGAGCAAAAAATGAACTATATTTTTCAAGAATTTGTGTATGAAATGAACTAAATGATACATCTAATGAGAATATTCATGGAACTAGCTAACGTTACCTGACGTTGCCTCTGTTCTAGGCGTAACTTCTCTGAGTTAGCAACTTCATATTCTCCATTTTCAAGAAATCTTTGATCAGGTCTAAGCCTTGAATCTGTTGGAGGCAACTTTTCCTGTTTGCAGAAACCGCGAAAGAAGAATGTAAATAGATTTTGCATAAAGCAGAAGTATCAGTTACAGATAGGACTATCAATTATAGGTACCTCAAGATCAGGAGAGAGCTCATTAAGTGTGACAGCGAAACGTGTAAAGCTGTACTTTGTTTGAAAACTTGATGGTTTGCTTTGCTTCCAAAGCAAATACGCCATATCTTGTCCTAAATCCATCGATAAATTAGAGTAACTCAAACTTTCATCCCATTTCCCAAACACAGTTGCTGCTGTTTTTCCACTCTTATCTTGTACAACTCCTTGTACCTACAATGCCAAATTTTAGTAAGTAGGTACAAACACCGATAATGTGGTATATACAAACACCGATATAATGTGGAGGTACTATACCTGGTGTGGATTTCTATTCATAATGGATTGCTTCTTAAATTTAAGCTTGCAAGAGTAGCCACCACTTCCTTGGATATGCATCGTACCAAAGTGATCACAATAGACTTTCCCTATAACGAGGTTGTAGATGGACGTTGTTACCTGATATAGTCTAAGTTAAACATTTCAACAAGCATATGATAGATACAAGTAGTCGTTGCATTGCTTGTCGATCCATTACATTACACTTACCTTGCTCCATTGGAATACTTCTCCATCATCGAACTCTAAGTTAAGAACACCAACTGGATCAAGTTGAATTGATGGACCCCAAAATTTGCTTTTTAAATTGGTATCTCCCCACATTTTCCAACCGCGGCCTTCACAGTAGCATGCAAGAATCAAGGGATGATGACTTACCTATGTCAACAGGTTTAAAACATAAGCATTTTATTGTCATTTCGTTGAGAAAAGAAAGCATGAGATCGATTGAACTGTACCTTCTCCGAGATGAAACGTAGTCCCTTGTCTGGGTAATTGGCTTCATATGTCTCACCCAATAATGGATTAAATGGCTTGAATTTTCTACCTTCTGTGCAAGCATATCCCGATACAGCAAATGCTGCAACATTAAGCATCCTCATAAGGCTATTTCCCTACAAAAAATAATGTTCAAAGCAATCACATCTCAAATAGCTAAAGTGGAAAACATTGAGTTCAAAGGACTAAGTTCTACTGGAAAAGGAAAACACACAACGTTCACACAACTCGTTGGAAATGCTTACCGTTCTCCCCCATTCATATGCTTGATCAAGAAGGTAAGAGTACTCAAAATCTTCGAAACATTTCTGCAAAGAAGAGAGGGGTTCATTGAAGTAGACAGGAAGACAAACTCTAGTTAGATCTTTCCCGATGTTATCTTTGATCATCGACCAAAGGCTTATTCCCTTCTCCTCATTAACGGGGTCAGGCAATTTCTCTCTTCGCTCTATGTAAGGGTAGTCACATTCGACAAATCTCATAAAAGAACTAAGACCATCTTCAGATGGATGAACCTCCTCATTATCAGAATCAAAAGATGAGCTTTCATCATAACAATTGGCGGTTCTCAAGGAACACGTAGAAAGACAATCTAGAGCATCAAAAAACAAGTTATCAGTGTGAACATCATCATCATCATCTTCCTTCGATCTGCTTGTGTTTCCTCCTGCAAAATACCAAATTAGTTAAGAGAACTTTCTCCATATTAGTAAGTTATGGTTGCAATGAACTTATAAAACAATATTCCACTTATCATTACTTAATCGTCTAAACCATATTCTTATACTACCATTTTGATCACTTCTTATGGACTCGTTGAGAATGATTCTGATCTAGTTCATGGCCTAATAGAAGTAGAGAGCGCTCTAGTGGGATCTTCACGGACAGAAAAAGATTGTAGTTAGTTTGATAACGATCAAGTAACATTGCTTCTTCTCACTAGCTCACATATCCAAGTTTTCAAACATTGCATTTAACTATGAGAAAACAAAGTAAAGAGCAAAATAAAGAAACAGAGAAAAAAAAGAAGAACAATATAATGATAGCTCTAGTTTTATGAAAATTTCATGATATTAACCTTTCATATCGCTCTCTCGAGTTCCAACCTTGCAATTGTTGTTCATTCTAGGCATATGAACAAAATCACTTGTTATAAATGCCTTCTTTGCTCCAAACAATCCTTCTAACCATATTAACCTATCGTCCTTCGACTCTGCCCTCAATTGCAGCTTCTTCTTCCCAGTAATTATCAAAAACCTTCGATCGTCTGAACAACTTCCCATTACTGTTGAGTCCTATATAGATAGTAGTGTTAAGATAATATCCAATCCAAAATCAAAATCAATCTTACAAAACATATGATTCCATTTTCTCATACAATTACGTATCAAGGACAGTCTGGTGCACAAAGCATCCCGCGTTCATGCAGGGGGTCTAGGGAAGGAACGCATCCCAAGATGTGTAATGTAGACAACCTATTCTAATATTCTTAATATATGTCAAACGCCTTTATTTCTTTTTTAAACTCCGTGCCTACTCAAAACACCCTAAAAAAAATTAAGGATTCATATACAAATAAGAACAAAAATTAGCTTTTTTGACCTTATATATACCAAAAACCATCATTTTTCCTTTTGGAAGACAATCCAGAAAGCATAATATCATTATAAATTAGATACCTTAAGGTGTATTTCACGTAATGGTTTTCGAGGGAGGAATTGGTCAGATGGAGTTGTTTTACATGTGTTGATGAAACGAAATGATTTCTTCCCTATGACAGTGAAGCCATTCTGTGTTTCGAAATTAAAAACTTGTCCATTGATTTTATAGTAGAAAAGAACACCGTCATGAAGAACAAACCAACGAGGCCTCCATCCTCTACCAAAATTTGCCCATTTGTATAAAATTCCACAAATTCCATTATCCAAATTATCACTATTGTTATTATGTAGTTTGGAGGAACGTTTTCCGGGAGGATGATGACGTACAACCACCGTGTTTTTGTCAGCCACGGCGGTGACACAGCACAAAAAATGCATGAGTTTTTGCATTAATCAAAAAGTTTCAAGGAAAAATTCTAAGAGATGAAGAAAAAATTATCAATTTATTCAAATTTGTTCTTTTGCCGCGAAAATAGGAGATTTTTAAATAATGGACGATAAGGAGTCATTAACTAATTATCCATTTCAGAAACTTTATTAGTGGTACCAATAAGTGTCTCACTTAATGTCGTAAAACTCTATCCAATCAATTTAACTTCTTGTAGTATGTTACTCTTTTATTTTATAAAGTCATAATACATAAATGTATTCTATAATAACTTGACATTAGGATATATATGTCATTTAAGTTTAAGTGTGCATAACCAGATATTTAAACTTATATAAAGTTTAATTAATAAGCAGATATATGCATCCTACATGACGTCCTACAAATCAATTTGAGTGTATCTCACGTGAATTATCATGTAGGACACTCCGTATATGAAACGTGTGTCTATTTATTCAACTTTCTGTAAAATTTAAATGTCTAGACACCCAAAATTTGAGAACATGATGTCAATTGAGGTCAAATCGTTAAAGGGTATTATACCTTTTACAAATGATCATATCATCATGGTTACTATGAGGATTTTCTTGTTGTTATTAATGTATATATTTAATTCTCTTTGCTTTCATTATACACAAGCCTAAAACATTTATTTGGATTTCTCTTTGTGACTTCTAAAATTTCCTATAGTACCACCAAAAAAGATATGATGGAGTTGTTTTCTCCTAATAAATGGTTTCGAGTTTGAGCCCTATATATGAAAAAATTCTTGATAGGAATCATTATCTCTCGAACGAGGCCCTATTCGATACAAATCCAAATTAGTCCGACTCCAATACAAATAAGATACCCGAAAAAAAAACTTAAAAACTTCCCTATAGTAGCCCAACAGTAAGAAAACTAATTCCTTTTAAAGAAGCATTAAAGATATATTCCAAAATAATTTTCCAAGATTTATGTCCTATATTTCATATCTGAAAGAGTTAACGGGACAATTCTCCCTACATAAGAAGAACAAAGGACCATAAAAGCTGAAAATACAAAATAAAGTACCAAATAATACTTTTCAAAAACTTCAGTGGTGGAAAAAGTAAGAAAGAAAAATCTGGTTGCCCTAGTTTGTCACAATAAACCCCACCCACCCCCTCAATTTTCTCAAATTTACACCATTGTGTTTGAAAAGTAACCTGTTTTTTTTTTCTTCTCTCTCGCTTGATCTTCTCTAAGGTATCTTCGAAAACTCGTAATTTCTGAATTTTATTGAATCTGATTTTTTGTGATTCAAGCTTGAGCGAGCTTAATTTTGTTGATTGAAGTTACTGGTCAATTTTTATTGTTGAAAATTTGGATCTGTGCAATTTTATTATATGTTCTGTTGATTTGATGTATTTCTATTGGATCTAGATATGAAATTGGATTGTTTTTCACTGTTTGTTGAAATAATTGCTAAAATTGAATTAGGGAGATATAGATTCGTTCGGGAGATTAATCTATAGTTGCGTGAAATTTGTATTTCAGATGTTTGATTAATAAAATTTAGGTTTTTTGTATGATAAGTATTGTGAAAAGGTGATATATGGTGCTTATAGTCCTTGCATATTGTCGATTTAAGATTTCTAAGTATTTGAGTTTAACAGTATAATTCCTTTCTATGTTTAGTTAATTTAGTGTATTTTTATTGGATCTAGATAAGAAATTGGATGATTTTCACTATTTGTTATGAGAATTGGTGAAATTGAGAGAGGGAGATATAGATTCGTTCGGAAGATTAATCTATAATTGCGTGAAATCTATATTCCAGAAGTTTGATTAACAAAAAGTAGTTCTTTTATGTGTGATCAGTATTATAAGTAGGTGATTTTGGTGCTTATGGTCCTCATATATTGTCCTTTTAAAACTTCTGAGTATTTTAGTATAACAGTATAAGATGATTTATAGCCTAAGCACAAATATCTATGACTTGTTTTAGATCACAAGTGTCATAAGTGCGTCTTTCTTTGTTAAACTCGGTGCCAAGTCAAACAACATCACATTAATAGGGACAGTGGGAGTACAAAGAAAAGCTATTCTTATATATTGGTGTTACTAGAACTTGATTTGAGCTTCCACTGAGAATATGTTATTCTATGCCCCAGGGATTGTTGTTTACAGTTATGTATTTATCCTAATTTTTGAAGTGAAAATGTGTATTTTTAAAAAAAAATCTGCATGTTAGATGCTTCGTGATTACTGATTCCTTAAGTTGATTTGATACAAAGGAGAAATATGTTGAGCTTTTGAATCCTTTTCACCCCGGTTCTCTGATATACAGTAATGTAAATACTCCTGTGGCTTGGCTAACTTGTAAGATGTGTATAGATGTTTCAAGTGTTTGGTTTGTTTTTATTTTTTAATGCTTGACATTTGTTAGTTTCTTGAAGATTGAAACTGTTGTAGCTTGGTTTATTATGTGTTCTTGTTCAGGAGTTTGCTTATGTGTACTATCAATCTGATGGTTTTCCGTTTGAACTGCAGTTCTGTATACAATGTCGGATGGTCAGGAGAGCGATAAGAACATTGAGATATGGAAGATTAAAAAACTTATCAAGGCACTGGAAGCTGCTAGAGGCAATGGCACCAGCATGATTTCACTTATCATGCCTCCACGTGATCAAGTATCTCGTGTTACCAAGATGCTTGGAGATGAGTTTGGAACTGCATCAAATATTAAGAGCAGAGTGAATCGCCAATCTGTGCTTGGTGCAATCACATCTGCTCAGCAGAGGCTTAAGCTCTACAACAAGGTTCCACCAAATGGGCTTGTTCTTTACACTGGAACAATTGTGACTGATGATGGGAAAGAGAAGAAGGTTACAATTGATTTTGAGCCATTCAAGCCCATTAATGCATCACTCTATCTTTGTGATAACAAGTTCCACACTGAAGCCCTGAATGAACTTTTGGAATCTGATGACAAATTTGGATTTATAGTGATGGATGGGAATGGGACTCTTTTTGGGACATTGAGTGGCAACACGCGTGAGGTCCTTCATAAATTTAGTGTTGATCTGCCCAAGAAACACGGAAGAGGAGGACAATCAGCCTTGCGTTTTGCTCGTCTCCGGATGGAGAAACGACACAACTATGTGAGGAAAACAGCAGAGCTTGCAACCCAATTTTATATAAATCCGGCCACCAGTCAGCCCAATGTCTCCGGCCTGATACTAGCTGGTTCTGCTGACTTTAAAACAGAGCTCAGTCAATCTGATATGTTTGATCCTCGTCTTCAGGCTAAGATTCTAAATGTGGTTGATGTTTCTTATGGAGGGGAAAATGGTTTTAACCAAGCAATTGAGCTGTCTGCTGAGATCTTAGCCAATGTGAAGTTTATACAAGAGAAGAAATTGATAGGCAAGTACTTTGAGGAGATTAGTCAGGACACTGGGAAGTATGTCTTTGGGGTGGATGATACATTAAAAGTTCTGGAAATGGGTGCTATTGAGACACTTATTGTGTGGGAAAATCTGGATATTATGAGGTATGTGCTGAAAAATAGCGGTTCTGGAGAAACAGTTGTCAGACACTTCAACAAGGAGCAGGAGGCTGATCAGAGTAACTTCCGTGATCCTGCTACAAATGCAGAATTAGAGGTTCAGGAAAAATTGTCACTGCTTGAGTGGTTTGCTAATGAGTACAGGAAATTTGGTTGTAGTCTGGAATTTGTCACCAACAAGTCACAAGAAGGATCTCAATTTTGCCGAGGTTTTGGTGGTATTGGAGGACTCCTCCGTTATCAGCTTGATGTTCGAGCTTTTGATGAGCTTTCTGATGATGGTGAGGTTTACGAAGACTCTGACTAGCAATTACCAACTTCTCAAATACCAGTGCAGAAGTTGAGCGGGAAAGCCTGTACTGGTGTGCAAGGGCTGTCGCCTTATTTGTCCGCTCATGTTCTAAGTGAAATATTTCTAAGAGCTCTTAAGGTGAGTCGGAAGAATCCATTTTCATTATTTTACGAGCCTTTATTCTTCCTATGTAATGGTCTATAAAGCTTGTTTCTAATATGTATTAACCAGATGGATGATCTGCACGGCGAACCTAAATTGGCATCAATTTCACCATGCGCTTTTTGAATCCCGTTCAGTTTCCGAGTGATTCAGGCTGTTGAAAGAATGGAGAACTAAATCCAAGCAGTGTGGCTGTTATTTTCCTGTTGAAGATGGAGAACATCAAAAACTTTATGCTATGCTCTTCTTGGAGGAGTGATGCATATGAAATTATGAATAATGCTATTTATATTTTCTATGAAGTGATTATGACTCTACGCATGTATTGGAGTATTTAATTTCGATGATTATTTAAAGTCGTGGGATCATTTATGAATATGGTATGTTGACGAGATCATATTACTTCTGTCTTGTGGGATTGTTATTATTCTATTTGGATGCACGAGTAGCACAAAATTACTTTGAATTCATGTTTTGTGATCTCGAAATTTGAAAAGACGTTAGTCTAGTAGAGGCAAAGAGTATTGTTCACTCGGTCGTTGTGAATGGACTTGCAAATTAAGTAGTGAAATTTTGTAAAATTACATACGATGAGTTGAGTTAATTTTGAATTTCAGTTGCGACTCGAAAACTCCACAAAAACAAAAAAAGCGATATTAGTTCTTGAGAAACAATGAGTGTGTTAGTTAGGTTGCTTCGAATGGACTCACTAAATTTGAGGTTAAATAGAGTTAGTTATGTTCTAGAAAGTTCATAAACTAATATATACATAAAGCTTCGATAATTCTAAATTTGTATTTCATGATCCTGAAACTTCAAAAGAAATGATGTTAGTTTTGGGGAAATAATGTGTATCGTTCACTGGGTCATAACAAATGGATTCCCAAAATTTGGGGTAAAATGGAGCAAGACATATTCCGAAAAACTAATACTTAATACACATGAAAAACTTAGATAATTTTGAATATTTGTTTCTTGACATTGAAACCTCAAAAAAGTGGTGTTGGTCCTGCAGAGGCAGAAAGTATCATTCAGTAGGTCGTTACGAATGAATTCGGTAAATTTGAGGTCAAACGGTGACAGATAGTCATACTCCAAAAATTCATGAATCAATACACACGAAAAAAATTAGATAATCCTCAATCCCTATTTCGTGACTCGAAAACTCAACAAAAAAAAGAAGGTGACATCAATCATGTGGAAACAATGAGTATTGTTCACTCGATCGTCACGAATGGAGCTAAAAAAATTGAGGTCAAAAGGAGTTGGTCGGACATATTTTGAAAAATTAATGAACTAATACACACAAAAAGTTTGATAATTTTGAATTCTTGTTTCGTGAATCTGAAACTTAAAAAAAATGACGTCAATCTTGTTGAGGCAATGAATATCGCTTACTTGGTCATCATGAATGTACTCATAAAATTAGGCGTCAAATAGTGTTAGTTAATCGTATTTCAAAAATTATGTGCATTATACACACACAAAAAACATAGATGATTATGAATTTTTGATTGGTCAATCATTTTGGATTTATTTTATTTTTATTTTTTCATGTTTGATTAGCTTAATTGTTTTGAAAAATATTTTTCAAATAAACTTATTTTCCTGTAAGATTTTCATACAGGAAAATAAATTTCAAAACTTTCCTTAAACCTCACCACCCGAAATGGATCCAAATCTGAGATCCAACTTCCGACTTTGAATCGAGACACAAATTTTGACCTTCCAACCTCGATTCAGGACCACTTATTTTTCAGAAAAATATTTTCTAAAATAACATGAATGAGAAAAAAAATCTTGTAATCGATAATCCATATAATTTATTAGGTTTGCCCTTTTTATCCATATCGAATATACATAAGATCAAATATTTTATTTGTTTTTTAGCTAATTCATTTTAGATCAGCTCATATCTGACTCGATCCTTTCTTTTTATTATCACACTATATAGCTGGTGTATAACACATTTATATTTATAGAATTGCCAAAACCACTATACCGAATCTTTAGCAAACCCAAAAATATTAATAATAATAATATGATTTTCTTTTTTCCTCATCTTTGTTAACTTAATTACCCACTCCAATCACCGGAGTATTTTCCGGCAACCGGACGGCGATCGGTAACCATTTCCTCTATACTTGTATTATTTGTGTTCATACATATATTGCATGAATCACATTTATATCTATTTTATTTGTTCATATTTGGTGAATTGCGCAATAATCGTGATCATTCATAATGATTTTCTCAATTAATGAATAATATATAAATACTTTTTTTATCATTTTTCCCTTTTTATTAATCTGTATAGAGCAGAGACGGATGCAAAATTTAATTTGATAGGTCAGTGATTTTGTCATACATATATTTATGGTTTGTGTAAAAAATACTGAGTTCAGTTGAACCGTTAAAACTCCATGGGCCTCTCCATGAGCTGTTGAATTATGCAAAATTGCAAGTTCTGTTTTATCAATCTCTGTTCAATTTGAGATCACTTAATTGTGTTTTGTAATTAATCACATTTTTTTCCATGAAAGTGGTTAATCAATCCCATTAATATGGTCATTCTTAACAATATATAGTTTCCTATTGACGGATCTAGGATTTTTTTCATTAATGGAGTTTAAACTTGGATTTTGAACTTCTAAACCACTAAGCAACCTCTAGCACTGTGTTCAGGGGATTCAAAATCTATATATGTACGCATAGAAAATAAAAAAATCACCTTATATATACGGTGTAATTTTTTGTCGAGGGGGGCTCAAGTGAATGCGTTCACCTCTGGAGCCGCCCCTGCCTATTAGTATGCTATATTTTGTTAACTAGCCTACTTTTTTGTTGGTTACTTGTAGAATATTGTCACTGATACGACGTTCTTGTTGCAGGCAATATATTAAGTTGTAGAGAGTTCTGAATACTGCATATATATGGCGAGGAAAGCTTTTGGTGCTTTGAAAGATTCCACAATGGTTGGGATGGCGAAGGTTAACAGTGAGTACAAGGTGAAGTATATGTTCGAATATAAACTTGTTATACTCTTAATATTGAGTTACTGAAAGTCCGAAATCATTAGTTAAGAATATATATATGTTCTTTCCTTCAGAAACTTGATGTGGCTATACTTAAAGCCACTAATCATGTCGAGGTAATGCCAAAGGAGAAGCACGTACAAAGTAAGTTCAATTTAACTCGATATTGATGTTTTGTCAATCTTTAGTGGTCTCACCAGCAAGTGAACTTTGATTACTTGAAGGCTGAGACATGCCCTGATGAAATTAGTGTTGTTTATGGCTAATTTGGACTATGTTATTTTGTTTTCCGACTTATATGATGTGCACAGACATGTTTTTTCAGTGGTATATATGAACCTTAACTGAATTCTGACTTAACGTTATAAGTCCACTCCTCCTTTTTGCAGCTTTTTTCAATGCGATTTCATGCAACAGACCTCGAGCAGATGTTGGCTATTGCTTACATACTCTTTCCAAGAGGCTCACCAAAACATCTACTTGGCAAGTATGACCCAATGACACCATGCTAGCAATTGTACTTCAATTAACGCGTTTAGTTCTTTTCTCTCTGTATGACCGGTTTTTGTGCACTTCTACCAACTATGTAAAGGAAATGAAAGTTCAGAGACTCATCGAACTCTTTCTCATGATTTAACTTAAGACAATCTATTGAAGTGTTGCTTTAAGTTATAAAATCAGATAGGACTACTTATATATCGTCCTCTTTGTGGTTGAAAGTTCTATTTTTTTTCTTCAGGTTGCGCTAAAAGCTTTAGTTGTTATTCATCGTGCTATGAGGGAAGTTGATATATCATTTCTTCAAGAGCTTATTAACTATAGTGCTCATCGAGGCCATTTGTTAAACCTAACACATTTCAAGGATGATTCGAGTGCAAATGGTATATATCTCCTATCTTTTGCCTTACCGTATGCTAAAAGTTACTACTAGCTAGAATGTGAGAAACTAATTTTTGATCGATTATGAAGCATGGGACTATTCTTCGTGGATTCGTTCTTATGCTTTGTATCTCGAAGAATACCTTGAATGCTACTGCTTGGTGAAATTTGATTTTCAGAGAGAACGAAAGGTATGATATTTGCCTTGTAAGAAACTGATGTATTGAACTCCATTTCTTGAATGACACTTTTAATGTTTTAGTCCGTTCCCAAAAGAATGACGCCATATATTTAGTAACTCTTTAACTTTAATCATGCTCTTTCTGTACTAGAAATGCCATGTTATGAGCACAAATTATAGTGAAAGGTACTTTTGATATGTCAATGATCAGTTTTTTCTTTCGAAAGACAAATCTTTTGTTGTTGATACTAAACAGAGAATGAAGGAGTTAAACACTCCAACCTTGATAGAGACTGTACCTTGTTTACAGAAACTGCTCTCTCGTCTTCTCGATTGCCAGGTGATGAATCGATCAATTGCTGAATAACCGATTCATTTGTTTTGCTTTCGAGGAATAATGACTACTGTTATATTTTCAGCCAAAGGGAGCAGCTCAATATAACTTCTTGATTCAGCATGCCCTTTCGATTGTGAGTAATCATCGAATGTCCTTTCACTATCTGTATATATACGACTAATTTTATTCGATGTAGAAGCTTTTCACATTCAAAAATCAAACTTTTGTTTGACACAGGTTGCAGCAGAAAGTGCAAGTCTATATGTAGCAATTGCTGATGGAATGCTTAACTTAGTGGACAAAGTACGATACAATCCAAGTGTTTTGGTTCAGTTATCAGATGTATTTGTAAAATAAAAACGAGCATTGACTAATAAACCTTGTACAGTTTTTTGAGATGCAACGTCATGATGCAGTTAGAGCACTTGAAATTTATCGAAGAGCAGGAGATCAGGTATGTGCATTTTCCTTTGTATATACATACATATATTAAGATCGACTTGCTGTGCATAGTTTGTTTTGATACATGGAAATGTGTGTGATATGCAGGCAGTAAAGCTATCTGAGTTCTTTGAGATATGTAGGAACCTTGATTTTGGACGAGGGCAGAAGTACGTTAAGATAGAAAAGGTAATCCATTCTGGTGCTGATTTCTTATTTCAAGAAACAAGTTACTAACAGATTTGTGTGTTTGTTTGATAATGTTATAGCCTCCGGAATCATTCATATTAGCGATGGAAGAGTACTTGACGGATGCACCAAAACCTCTAATGCTTACATGGAAGCCGGTATGTTGTTAGAAATGAGTGTGATCTTATATACATATTTTGCTTCACATTGCTATATAGTTGAACCTACAGAACTCGCTCTTTTCTGTTTACTATTAATGCTATTTTTCCTTTTCATTATGCCAACAGGATGACGATGACAAAAATACCAAGGTCATTGCTGTTCCGGGGTCCAAACTAGAGACTGATCAAGAGCAAGAAACTGAAGTACAGACGAAAGAAGAGAGTAACGTGGAGACTCCAGCCCCGCCTCTCATTCCCGACCTTTTAGTAAGAACCTTCTTAAATCCTAAATGAAAAAATGAGATGAGATTTCATAATGGTTACGTATAGCTAATTATACATATTTATAGTCTTTTGATGAACCAAGTGAAGATCAATCGATTGCACCAGAAGATAACAACAACGCGTTAGCTTTAGTTATTAGTACACCAGGTATATTTTTCTTTCTTTTCGTCTTCTTTATCAAAGTAGACGAGTCTACGTACTAAGCTTTCTTCACAAAATGATGATCATGTTATGTGTAGATGAGTTATCGAATTCTTTGAGCAATTCAGATCAAATTAGTCAACCTACAGGCTGGGAGTTGGAACTCGTTACAGCATCAACGGGGGCATCCATAGATCAAAATAAACTGGTTAGCCTTTTTACTGTACAAGCAGGCTAACTCAAACCAAACTGTTTTTGTGCTCGTGGCAACGACTATAATTGTGTATCCTGTTTTCAGATACAGGGGGGTGTACTAGATAGATCAAAGTTGGATAATCTATATGAAACAGCATTGGCAAGACAGAACATTGTAAATGACCCTTACAATAGGGAAGTTTCATCTAATCCGTTCGAGGTAGCTGATAATTCACAAGATGCATTTTATAGCTCAACAAACTCTGGAACAAATGGTGCACAAATGGCTGCTATGGCTCATTACCATGACTATGGTGTTTTCATGCAACAACAAGTTGCTAATATGTCTCAATCACACGAATCGTTCATCGGACAACACGAAGCCTTGATGATGCAGCAACAAATGGCTGTTGTGTCTCTTCAACAACAAACTATGATTCAAGAACATGAAGAACAAATTCAAGAAAATAGAGGTGAAGTGCCTCAACTACTATTAGAAGGACCAGCAGCATTGGTTAACAATAATGACAAAAATCCATTTGGGAATCCTTTTAGTGATCAAGATGTTACAACTCATAATAATCCTTCTCAGGATCAATCTCATGTGTCTGAAAATCAAAATTCACAGTCTAGTTTAATCTAAACTCATTTTGCCAAAAAGAAATTATGGAAGTTATTAATGCATGCAGAGATGGATCCAGGATTTAAAGTTTACAGATTCTTATGATGACCTGATCAAAATTTCATATAGTTTTTGAATTTCTTATAATTTTTGTATGAATGTGGTGTCCGGGCCAACTTTCACGCATATCGACTAATTCCACTGATCACATGATATCTATCACCTCCCACCAGCAACAGGTACCAGTTAACTCTGTTCATCAAAACTAAAATAGATGGAAAAAATCACCTAATGTTTTTTTCTCTCTTTGAGTTTTGAACTTGAGACCTCAAGATTCTCAACCACTTTATTAATCTGAGTTTTTAAATTTCTTAATACATATTTATAACTAGATCCTGATAAAAATTACTCAATTTATATGAACCCCTTACTTATAAGTCAACTCCGCCCCTACTTAGCATGATCTAGGTTGATTTTGATGGATTTGACTATTAATTCATTATATTCAACTGAAGCTTCGTTTATAAAAACTTATACTCAATTTAAACCGACAAAACGCTAGATCCCATGCTCTATAAATAACAATCAAACATACCATATAATTAGAAATGATTTTTCCTCCTCTCTCCCCATGTGCATCTCTAGACTTTTTTGGGGTGATTTTTTTATTTCCATTTCCTATTTTGGTGCAACGTATGGAAAAAGAAAGTGAATGATCAAGTTTATTTTTAAAAAAAAAAAATCAATTTTAATATTATTTTATTTACCTTCATTTATCTACTATATTAAATTTTTTATTACAAAAAATAAAAAAGCATGGCCCAATCCAGCGGAATTGCAATTAGAAGAGTCACATGGTATTGGGCCCCACTATTAAACCCGTAGCCGTATTTCACGCCTTTATTCAGCCGTCCTTCTCGATGGATCTTAGCTGTCTGCTATCTTTTTCGTCGCATTAAAATTTGATTAAATTAAATTTGAAATTACGACTTTATTTTTCTAAAAACGCTCCTTATCAAAAAAAATTTATCAAAACATATAAGTTCATTCAACTCAAATATCTAGTATCCAATGTTTGGAAATATATACTTCTCACTCTATGCTATAACAAGTCTTTTCTTCCATATGTTTATTCAAATTCAAAAGGGAATCAAAACTACAACCTTATATTAGTGCTTTGATTTTGATTAAAAAGTAGAATCAGTTTTGAGTTTGAATTTTCCTTAATACAAAATCGTATTTGTTAAGGAGCACTTTATTTCTAATATGGTACTCCCTTAATAATACGAATAACTCTAATATAAATATCGACTACTAGTTACTATATGCTATACAAGTGCTTTAACATATAACTTTTAAAAAAAGTGCAAATACCATTTGATAGAATGAGCAATTTTTTATTCTTTTACAAGAAAAAGCAAGTAACTATATGAATAAGACTCTAACATGGAATAAGGAGTTCAATCTTCTTCACTCCTCCTTCACACAAGAAAAGAATAATATTCTTTTCTTTTTCTTCCTCTTCTTTTTTCTTTTCTTTCCCCCTTTTCGCGGTAATATAAAATCTAAAAATTCTAAAAATAACCAAATAAAAAAGGAAAAATAATAATTATTTTACAGACTTTTCTTGTCTATAGCCATAATAGGAGAGATACCACCTAACGAATTTTCCCAACCCAGTTTGCAAATTGGTTGTCGGTTTATACCCGAGTTCTTTTTGGGCCAAACTAATATTCGCATGCGTAAACGGAACGTCGCCGTTTCCGGGCATATCCAAAACATGTTTCTTAGCTTTTACTTTCAAATGTTTCTCTAACATCGCAACCATCATCGGTACCGTCACGGGCGAAGTATTACCCAAGTTAAATATCCGAAACATAGCCGGGCCCCGTTTCTTCCCACCCGACCCGGTACTCTTCCCTGCTGTATCAAGTGACCCGACACACCCTTTCACAATATCATCAATGTACGTAAAATCACGGGCTAAGTCGACCCGGTTCTTGCCCCGATAAACCGTTATCGGTTTACCTTGTAAGATATTGCGGGTAAATGAGAAATAAGCCATGTCGGGTCTTCCCCACGGTCCGTAAACAGTAAAAAACCTCAACCCGGTTATTGATAACCCGTAAATGTGATTATAAGTATGTGTAATTTCTTCACCAGCTTTCTTCGTTGCTGCGTATAACGAAGCGGGTTGATCCGTCCGATCCGATTCGGAAAATGGTACCTTTTCGTTCAACCCGTATACTGAGCTCGAGCTTGCCCAAACAATGGCGGGTTGAGGATTTGTATTTTTGCAAGCTTCGAGAAGCGTAACAAGCCCAGCAATATTACTATGAACATAAGATTTGGGATTTTCCATGGCGTAACGAACACCAGCTTGTGCAGCTAAATGCATAACGTGTGTAAACGCTACGATATCAAATAGCTTAGCTAACATATGAACATCGTTAATATCCCCTTCAATGAGGTACACATTTTGCAAATTCAACAGATTTTTGCGAGCTTTTTTCAACGAAGGGTCATAGTAATTGTTGAAATTGTCAATTCCGACGACACCGTCTCCACGTTTTTTCAATGCGATTGAAACGTGAGATCCGACGAAACCGGCGGCGCCGGTGACGAGTACGGACATGCCGTTAACACGGTGGATTTGGGCGGAATCACGAACTTGTTTCTCCCAATGAAGACTACCCCATGTGGAGGAGAGATACCGGGTACCGGAATCCATGAAGGACTGAAAACTCAAATACGACGCCGTTAAAGCTAATAAAAACAATGCCCATAAGAACATTGTACTTGTTGAAGCAAAACATCGGTGAAATTGCCGGTTACCGGAGTAATACGTTTTGTCTTTGAACTTTCCTGGTGTTGATGGAATGAATTCTTCTTCTAATCCCCTCATTTTTTTTTTATCAAATCGAAGAAAAAGAAAATTTCCCCTTTTGAGATAGATGAAGAAATTGTTAAAATTGGATGTTATTGATGGAGATGAAAATGGGTTTTAGTGTATGCAGAAAAAAGGAGGAATATATATAGGACAGAGTATATAGAAATAGAGCTTCGAATAAACGCGTGAACGCGTTAAAGAATGATGATTTTGGAAGAGAGAGAAAGAGAAATTGATGAGAGAGAAAGGACAGCTAATGGCACACAGTGTAAATTTAGGAAAGTGGAGAGGATAGAGAAAGAAAGGGATGGGTAAAAATAGAAAATGTAGAAGATAACTTTGTAAAGGTTGTTTGGTACTTGTTAGAGCTGCGTATATATTAGTAATGTACGGATTAATTATGAATTTATATATATATATATATATATATATATATATATATTATGTAAATAGTAATTATTTTAAAATTATTTATTTATTAGTTATATATATATATTATTTATTTCATTTTCTATATTTATTTATGTAAGTTTTGTAAATCAAAACACTTTATTAAGGAGAGGAATATTGAAAACATTTCTGAACTTAGTGCAAATTGTTAGTTTGTTTTTCAATTATTGACAACTTTGAAAACAAACCGTTACTTGACTAACTAAACTTAGATACACTCAATCTGTCAATGACATAGTTACTAGTCTCAAACTCTTGTAGGAGGATGAGATTCTTAATAAAAAGTTGAAAGAGGTGTTGAAAATATCCATAAAATTGGTGAGGATTTAAGGGTATATTTCACTCATGTTGCAAAATCGAATTGTATTTAAGTTCAGTTAATCAAGTAAATAAGAGTATTTCTAAGGTTGTCAATAGTTTAAGAATGATACTAGTAATTCACACTGAAATTAAGAGTGTTTTCAATACTTTTATATTAATTTTATACATGAATAATTTACCTTCTAATTAGCTATCAAACATAATATTACTCATATAAAATTTAGTGCCTACATGCATATAATTCAACTACCAAACAACCCTTAATTAAATAATGTTTTACATTTCGGTGGATTTATTTTTTTGGAAATTTTAGTTATCATGGAAAAAGATTATAGATCAACTAGCACATGTATACATAAAAAATATATGAAACCAATATACCCTTGACACACTACTACTATAGTTGGACCACGGTGTAAAATGTTTACTTAAGAAGTAAATAATGTATGATCATTTCATATTATTCTCCCTAGGAAAGATAATAATACAGCTAAAGAGACATTACTCTAGTTGGACCACGTTAGAAAGTTAGTGTACACTCATTCTTATAATTTATAAAAATAAAATAATTCTAGGCACACTAAGTTTGATAAGTACATGCTTTAATTAAGCTAATTTTGCAGCTTGCACGTAGTAATAAAATATTTATTGTAATTCTTCTTGATAACTATGCTTAGAGAAGGTTCTTTGAAGGTCCAAACTATAATAATTTAATAAATTAGGCAAAAGTACTCATTACCCCCCGAACTTGAAGCTTTTTATACGGTGTACACCTAAATTAAATTCCATTTTAATTACCTCCGAACTTGTTTATTCCTCCGTCGCGTACACCTTTTTCGTCCACCTGGCGTAGAAATTGACAACAATCTCTACTAGGCGCGTGAGGAAGTGATTTTTTGCCACATCATAACGCTACAGCGATAAAAAAAACGTAAAATCTTCATTTTTCTTTAATATTTGGCATATTTTAAACGAAAAATAGGGTAAAATGTAAATGAAAAGTAAAGGAAACAAAGATTAACACTTACTTGGTAAGAATTTCAGACAAATTTGAAATTTAATCGACCAACTTCACGTCTAGAAAAACCCAAATCCAAAAGGAGTTCCGCGAAATCAGCCCTTATTCAAAAATAACTTTTAAACAATGAATTTTAAATTTAAGAAATTTATTTTTTGCAATATTAATTTATCCAGGTGGAAATCCACATCACCAATTTAGACAGCCGTCGCGCGTGTATAGTCCCAACAGGAGTAGGTGGACGAAAAAGGTGTATGCGACGGAGGAATAAACAAGTTCGGGGGTAATTAAAATGGAATTTAGTTTAGGTGTACACTGTATAAAAAGCTTCAAGTTCAAGGGGGTAATGAGTACTTCTGCCAATAAATTATTATGTACTCTCTCTTTCCATTTTTATTTGTCATGTTGCGCTTTTCGAAACTTATTTGACTAATTTTCAAAGTTAAATTAGATTATATTAATTTGATATTTTAAACAAAAAAAAAAAGATATTCAAAAACTATGCAAAAAGTACTATAAATTGCAATTTTTTGCATATCAATATGATGAAAAAATACATCGTAAAATATTAATCAAAATTTTTATAGTTTGACTCTAAAAAAGGAAACTATGACAACTAAAAATAGACAAATATAATACTAACAAATTGGTATGATGGCCAAGATATCGGAACCAATTTTCAAGCACCTCAACTAATTCTACAGAATACCTTCTATCTCCCGCTAGCAACAGGCGCAAGATACCTCAACTAATACTCCATAGCAAGAATTTAAAATCAATGTCATCAATTTTTGAACTAAAAATTATTATATTCAACTCTTTAATTTGATGAGACGACTAATTTATGGTGGCCATCCATTTGGATATTCTAGAGCGTTCCATGGAACATTCACTCTTGATTAATCAATTAATTAATTATAATTTCGTTGTCATGTGTATAATCAATCTCTTTTATAATGAAGGATTGAGATCCCATTTTTCAGTGGTTGGCATGGTATTTATTTAACTAATTAAATAAAAGAAAGATTAAGCATAAGCTAAGGTTGATCATGTTATGAATTGAAATTAGTTACGTATTAGTGTCTTTTTTACCAATCCAGCACATTCTCCATGTCTATGTTAAACTATATACGTACAATTGTCTAGGCAGAAGCTGTTAAGTTCACGTAAATTTATAAATACTATATCTTGATCGATATAAAATAACAACTTTTAGTGAAAGAAAGAATATATAAACACAAACCATACTTATATTCATCGATTGATTTAAACTAATACACGAGTGACGACAATACAAATTAACTAGAACAAGATACACATTACGTAGTATATATAGGACTTCATGTAGTCTATTCTTTATTTTATTTTTCATTTCAAATTAAAGTAGTATAAGCTATTATTTATTTTTTCTAATGTAATATTTAGTTACCATCTCCTTCACCATAGCTACATGATATCCTTACGTATCTAGGACCATTAATTACCGGAACCAGAACCAGCTCTTGATCCAGCATATGAGCCTGCTTCTGAACCTGCCTCGCTTGATCCACCTCGACTACCAGAACCTGAACCAGCTCTTGATCCAGCGTATGAGCCTGCTTCTGAACCTGCATTACCATTACCTGAGGAAGTTGAACCTGAACTTGAGCTTGAACTAGAACTTGATCTTGACCCTGAGCCTGATCCTGAACCTGCTCCTGCACCGGCCCCTGAACCACTTCCACCTCCTAAGCCCAAGCCTACCCCAGCACCGACACCCACTCCTACACCACCACCCAAATCTAGGCCCAAATCCTTTCGAGCCACCCGACCCTCTGAGACCATAACAAGAGTTGACAAAACAAGCAAAGCAAGAAAGCCCAAAGCCTTAACCCTAGCCATACTTAAAACACTAATAAAAGTACCAAAACTTTTATAAAAAATCCAATATTATTTCTATGCAAGTATTATTCCTCTATTTAGCAAGTAATGCTTGATTTCTTGTTGTGGTAAAACATGATAACTTGTAACGCTATTTATAGTTTTAGATGCTAGGGTTTCAATTTGGTTGGTAAACATGACAAATTAGTGGTAGTGGGGGACAATTGTACATTATTAAAAATGGGCTAGACTAAAGTTTGTGGATGAGAAATTAAAAGCATGCAATTTAAGAATTTTTTTTTTGGACTTGTCATATGATAGCCATATTATGATGAAATTGTATCGACCCACGTACCGGCCATGAAATTGTATCGACCCACGTACCGGCCATTCCACTACCATAGTGGAATAGCTATAAAATACACTAATTATACATTTTGAAGGTGGACAATAATACAATTTTGAAGGTGGACAATAATACAACACACAAAAAGAAGAGACATGTGAATAAGGAATTGATAGAAAAGAGACACGTGTAACAACGAAGAAATCATCAAAAAAAGCTATAAACATATGTCAAAACAAGAAATTTACAAGAACGATGATAAGTATATATTAGAACGTACGATAAAATGCACATTTTTAACTAGTAATTAAACATCAAGATATATATAAGTGCGTGCATCACTTGTTCAGTTTTTGCAACAAACTAATAAAGAAATATAAAAAACAAATTAATAAAGAAATTTAACACTAGCTAAACTAATAAAGAAATATCAAAAACAAATTAATAAAGAAATTTAACATTATAGCTAACTTAAAGAGTACTAATTTTCTCCAAATTTAGGGAGGAGTTGCTTGATCAAGTATTGAGTAGCCTTGTAGTAAGTAGATTCAGTTGGATGAATGCTATCAAAGAATATGTATTGTGAAGGATTTGGACATACTGAAGATAGTTCGGTGCAAAAAGGTCCTGCTTCGATTAATCCACTTCCACAACACCCTACCTTTGTTTCCTCAAATCCTGATACAATTTATTAACCACAAAAATATATTTTCAGATATTCAAATATAGTTTTATTAGGCACAAAGTTTAAAACAGAAAGACATATTTTTGAGAATATGGTCCAAAACATGCTTATCATCAATATTTTTACGACTATAGATCATTACATTTCATGAATTATTTTTTCTTTTTTTAGAGTTGAACTTCAAAAAATACGTTTAGCCAGAATTCAGAAAACAACAAAAAAGGTGTTTTCACTTTTTTGCTTCAAATTATTCACATAAAGTAAAAAAACAACTCTAATTTATATTCATTGTCAAACACAAATCCAATCTTCAGTATCATTTTTCACTTTGAAAACAAAAACTACTTTATTCAAATTCCATAATGAAATGCTTAAATTACTAAATATAGATGGGTACCACTATTTATTTAAGATAAATAAAATAGGTTAATGTGTCACATAAAATAGGAAAAATAAAACAAATTAGGGTTATATACTAAAAACTTATTAATTATTAATTTAATTTAAAGAAGTACTTACCATGTAGTTGAGGATTGTGGATAAGGCCTGATATAAAATTATATGTGTCTACATATAATATTTTGCTTCCAGGAAGATGTGATTGTAATTGAATTAACAAATCCTGAAGCTTTTCATTATAAATCTGAGCATCCAAATTCTCATCATTTATGCAACTTCTAAAAAATGGAGATTTTGCTGTAATTTGCATTGGAAGACAACCAATTGGTGGCAATCCATTTACTATAATATTACGACATCCAAGATAGTATAATTCCTGAAAAAAATAAAAAATATCACACGTTAGAATAGTTAAAAATAGTGACGAATTCAGAATTCTCGTTAAGAGTATCATACATTTAATATATATGTATAAAAAATAATTTACGAATTCTGACCACCATCCTGAGATATATATGACTACGCCATCGTATGCAAAGGGACAAAAATGGACTAGAGTGACATTAGAAGTTAACTAGAAAAGCTAAGAGGCTCACGAATATGCATAGTAAAGAGTGATGGATATGATGAATGTATAATTCATTAAATAAAAGTTTCTTTTTTCAAACAATTTTAAATTTTTAATAAGTTTGACAATTTTTTAAAATTATTTTTTATATAAGTCAATCAATAGCTATATTATTGTGTATATATCTCCAACCTATGGACAAATGTAGTAAACTAAGACCCAAACTATCACTTCACCAACACCATAGTCGTTCCGATGAACTATTGACTCTTATATCAGTTGATACACTAAGAAAATATTTTAACATGATGTGTGAGATCGATTATTCACTTTAAACTATATACCTACAAAGTATATATTTAAGTGATCGACAAAATTTCAAAAAGAAACAACAAAAATTTCATTTAGCTACGAATGAACGATAGATTAGAGTACGTAAGTAGTATTAACCTTGATAAAACTTTGGACTTTGTCAAGTAGAAAATCTTGGTAGCCACTCAAGCTGAATTGAAGTCTTCTATTAGGTAAATCATAAAAATTAAATATCAAATCATTAGTACCAGCACTAACAATAACCAAAGCACCATTCACTATTCTTTCAACTTCACTACTATTTCCTCCAACAATATCTTTAATTTTACTCAAATATTCCTTGAAATATTCTAACTCTTCCTTCATAGAAATTACTCCAGATATTGTACTAGTTAATTCATCATATCCTGTTCCACCAGATGCAAAACATACTCCAGTAATCAAGTCGTTTTTCGACAAATCGCGTTGTAAATAGGGAGGAACACCATTTTTTTTGAGACCTAATGAAATTGACAACATGTCTGGCACTAATTTTCCATTAGAAAATCTTCCTGTTGGGATATGGTTTGTGAAATCTTGACCATATGGTAAGTGATTGCCTTTAGCTATAGTGTCAATATGGTTGTTATTTCCAGTGTCAACTGATGAATCACCAAATACTAAAATGGATGTGAATTTTGGAATATTATTATTGGCTTGGCTAGTTATTATAATGTTACAATAACATAATATCATGAAAAAGAAGAAGCAAGTTCTTAAAGCCATTTTGTGATGCCAAAAAAAAAAGTTGAAGTTTAACGCTAGGAATATGCATTTTTATACTTTTAAGATTGTAGACGTCGAGTTTTCGTAGGAGTCTGCAAGATGAGTTCAGTTTCAATTAGGGTTCTTAGAGTTTACTTTACTCTAAACCTCTCTGGCTCATATAGGTAGTAAATAAACTATTGGGATAATTATGAAGAGATCAAGATATGATTGGACTGTACTGTTTTATCCAGGATAAATATATTTGTACCTATATTGTTGCAAATATCTATCTATTTATTTTATTTGTTTCAAAAGAAGATATTTATAATTTTGTATGTTGCTACCTCATATTTTTTGAGAATCCTAGGCCATACACGATGTGCTAGCTAGCTTCTAAAATTCTGAATAAAATCTTGAAACTTGATAAAAAGGAAAAATATCGACTATTTTCAGTGTGAAAACTGCCTTTGCTTCTCTAACTTTATGTGGCAAATTTTGGCATTTCTTTACACATTTTTTGTTTTATCTATCGACATTTTCACATTTGCTCGATATTTGTGAATTTAACTAATATTCACTGACGATGTATTAAAGATATTTTATTTCAGTAGGTCATTTTTATAGATTATATAGCATGTAAACTATCTAATTATCTTTATGATTACAATTCTAGTATTAATATTTGGGTGATTTGATGATGTAAACAATACTTTATTTATACATAAGAAACTCTTTATTTGTTTATCGATTTTCTTTTTATAAAAAAGATAAATTAGACAAAATGATCATTCCATCAAATCCCAAGTGACTATTTGACGATGGTGGCCGGCCTTAACAAAAAATGGAATCTCAACACCAAAAGGATAAAAAATTATAGCTCTGTTTGAAATTTTGGGATTGTTTATAGAAGATTATAGTCTTTGTCTTACATAAATGCAATTTTACACCATCACTTAGAAATACTCCTTCGCGGAGAAATACACGTGTATTAGAGTTTCATGTCTAGTAATTTAGACAAAAAAAAATTATAGCTCTGTTTGAAATTTTGGGATTGTTTATAGAAGATTATAGTCTTTGTCTTACATAAATGCAATTTTACACCGTCACTTAGAAATACTCCTTCGCGGAGAAATACACGTGTATTAGAGTTTCATGTCTAGTAATTTAGACAATAAAAAATTATAGCTCTGTTTGAAATTTTGGGATTGTTTATAGAAGATTTGAGTGGGTTGAGATTGAAAAAAAAAGAATCAGTTTGTTGGAGAGATGAATTGCTTGTATAAATATTATATAACAGTGTATATGAAATTATGAATATATATACATCTCTGATATATAGTTATATATATATATATATATATATATATATATATATATATATATATATATATATATATTATATGTAGTATACAATTATTTACTATTATACAATATCCATATATTACATATACATGCAACCATTTAGTTAATTTTTTGTTTGACATATGATACATTTACGTAAGAAGCCCAATTTTTTTAAATTTATTCATAGATATTGTTCTGATAAAAAAGATGATTAACACCATCATCATGATTTAAGAGGATAAAGCTCAAATATAGAGAATATCAACTCAATTGAAAACTAAAATGACAAGATTTGAACATTATGCAGTGTCATCATTTGGGCCTCAATTTTATACGATCCAAAAGAGCCAAGGCCCATAACATTATTGCTATAAAAAAGCCCAATACTTGAAAACTAGACCTCAAATACACTACAAGATTGCTAACAATAATCAAGCTAATGACTATATATTCCCATTTATAACTTTGGCAAATTTATGATGGAATTCCCAAAAACTTATCAGAGTTAATTTTCTGGGAAATTGAAAATTTATGAAAATCAATTTTCCAAACTCTCATCAAATTTCATGATCAAATATATATAGAAGATAAAATTTTAACTCAATTCAAAATCTATGATCAATCAATTTATCCTAATTTAGATATACACATTTTATTTGGGCTAATTAAGCATGATAATTGATACATTTCTAGTCTCACTTATATAATTAAAAAAATTGTGAATTGTGAGTAATAAAGCTGATTCTTATTCTTTAAAATTAAATTAAATGGTCAAAGAGATTCGTGTTTACTTTCTCTAGGGAATTGGTCTTAGCTCTTCCATTCACAATAGACAAATTATTAGTAAAACCAAACAGACTTTACAGTTATTATAACTTTTGTTTTTTCTCAAGAAAATTCTGATCAAGTGTTTCTGTCGCTACATAAGGAAATTTGTACAACTCCGATTGGTAAAAGTAAAACTTAACCACACCGAGTGTATACACCAATTCAATACATGCATGTCACGTGTTTAAATTTATAGTTCATTTTACTTAATCTTAATTAATTAACATGTGTTTTATTTTATTAAATCACATAATAATGAAATATACATTAGTTTGATGTATACACTCGATGCAGGTAAATTTTTTCCCCAATGCAACACAAAGGGTGTTGTAAGAACTGCGGTTTCTCTCCGGACAATGAAATAGGGGTGACTTCAGATTATTTCCTACATACTCATGAAAGTTTCACTATTATTTGTGGAGTGTGTAATGTCCAACGTTGTATAAAAGCTTCTAGACAGCACAATATCTCTATAGATTTTTGAAAATATTTTAAGAGACCCTATTTATCCTAATTAATTAACATCTCAGTCCTGTACTCCTCGAAGTTTCTTTCAGATATACCTAACTGGATCAAAATAAATACTTTAGTTGGAATATGTAAATAAAAGACTCACAATTTCCTTTACCCTCCCCCCCTCCAAAAAAATTTCCATTTTATCATTTTGAACATATATTCAGTATTGCGGGGTGGAGTCAGGTAAAGTTGAGGAGTTCATTTGAACTTTTTTTGATGAAAAATTATACTGTTTATACATGATTAAAATTATTTTTTCTGTATATATAGTAGATGTTGAATCTCCATCGTTTTTTTTTTTTTTGTATATTTACTTATTCGTATTTTAAACTCACTCTCTTAATGAAAAATTTGACTTAGTCATTGTCTTAGTAGCGTGCAAAGAATCTTGTTAGGAAATGGAGTACTCCATTGTTTAGTGATAGTCAAATTAGCTTAATTTTTAGTCATCCTATTTTAATGTCTACAATGCATGATTTTTTTGGGACCAATACATTGAACAGTTGTGAAACCGATAGAAGAATAGAAAATACTCTTTGTACATTTAATTTAATTTATGGTTGACATTGATGTATCTGATTAAATGGCAACTTGACTACTTCCACCATCCTTTTTAATAAAATTTTCTTTATCCCAAATTACTTTGGTTTAAAGATATTTCTTCTATTTTATTTTGAATTATTAATTACTTATGACTAGAGGGATGAGTAGATATAATGAATAACGTTCACACATTCATATTAATTTGAAGGATCAAAATCATACATTTATATTAATTGAAGAAATATGTTTAATCGAAAAGGAGAATACTATTCTCCCTCTCCTAATCAAACACAACTACCCATTGGAAAGATTCAATGTGCAATAATATTCTTTTAGAAAATGAAATGTTTGGTCTTTCTTTATTTGTCCTTTCTTTTCCATCTAACGTGTACTTGTTTAGTTTTATTCAAATTTAAGTTTGTGCATATTTAAAATTGAAAGGTATCAATATTAAATGAAACCAAGTTAAAGAGCATGTTTATGAATATTACTACTAAAATGATAAAGGATTACCAAACAATACTATTAAAAATTATTCCCCCCCCTCCCCCCCCCGGTAAATTAGTTCATCTCTTGGTTTACAATTTTTAGGGGGAGAAAAGAAGAAGAAATACTCAAAATTAGATAGAGGGCAAAAGTTCTACTTATCAAGCCTTTACAAATTAACGTAAATCTATTAATTAGAAGTTTCGAATTCAAATCCTCTTTATTATTAAAAAGTTCTTATTTGAATTGATTAAAATTAACGAATATAAGATTCAATAGACTAAAGAATATCATGATTTAAATAATTAGTATTTCATATATTTACTTCCAATTTTTTTTTAAAGTAATCCCACGATTATCGCTACATATTATCTAGGTCATAAATGTATAGATTGGGTCAATATCATACGGATATATATAATAAAAAATATTAATCCATTTGCTGCAAGTTGATATTGTAGTTTATTTTTATGAAAATATATATTTGACCTCGATGCAATCATGTAACTCTAATAAACTATCATAGTTTTAAAATAAGTTTATGGTAAAAAATAATCCTAAAGAAATATCTTTTTTTTCTTTATTTCACCTTAAATAACATGAGTTTGAATTATTTCACTCAATATGAGTATAAATGACGGAAGTAAACACACAAAAAATCAAAGATAATTCAACATTTACTATATATTTGTAATTAAATGAAAATATCTATTTCACCTCGATGCAATCACGTAACACAGATAAACAATCATAGTTTTTAAATAAGTTTATTGTGAAAAATAATCCTAGTAAAATCTCTTCTTTTTTTCTTTAATTGACCTTACATAACGTGAATTTGAATTATTTCAAACTCAGTGTGAGTATAGGCCTATTGACGGAAATAACACACAAAAAGGTCAAAGTAATTCAACATTTACTATATATTCGTAAAATATAATTTTAATCATATATAAATATATAATTTTTCACTGAATGACACTCCTTGATCCTTGCTAGTTCCGCCCCTGAATATAGCATACCGGAAAAAAAAACAAGAAGTGAAGTCAAATTATTTTTCCTTTTTTTTTATATTGGCAAGTGGAAAATCAAATTTACAATTTTTTATTTTTTATTTTTTATTTTTTAAAAAGAAGAAGTTGGACTTGTTCTTTTTCTATTTCTGACGTATTATCCATTTTTTGTCCTAAATCATTACGTCAAAAACTCTAAAAAGTCACTAGTAAACTCCATAAATATATTTACACACCTCTTCAACTTTCTCATAATAATTCTTCAATTTCTAATCAATTTTTTTTTTTTAAAAAAATGGTGCGTTTGAGTAACAACTTAGTAGGAATTGTTAACATAATAACATTTATTATTTCAATTCCAATTATAGGTGGAGGAATTTGGTTATCAAAACAAGCAAATACAGAATGTGAAAGATTTCTTGAAAAACCAATTATAGCACTTGGAATTTTTGTTATGTTAATTTCATTAGCTGGTTTAATTGGTTCATGTTGTAGAGTTTCATGTTTTTTATGGATTTATCTTGTTATTATGTTTTTATTAATTATTTTAATTTTTTGTTTTACAATTTTTGCATTTGTTGTTACTAATAAAGGGGCTGGTCAAGTTTTATCTGGTAGAGGGTATAAAGAATATAGGCTTGGTGATTATTCTAATTGGTTACAAAAAAGAGTTAATAATCATTGGGGTAAAATTGAGAGTTGTTTGCAGGATAGTAAAATATGCAAAACATTGATGGATGATGGGGATAATAAAGTTGAAGATTTTTACAAAAAACATCTATCTGCTCTTCAGGTACATAATTTTTGTTACTAGCATATTTATTTTTTTATCGATGTTTGGTATTCTTGGTTGGTCATGTAAAGGAGTTTTTTTTTTCATGTTTGATCATGTTTTGTTGTGAAATTTTTTAGAAGTAGTTTTTGTTTTCAAAGTGAATTTCTTTTTTTTGTGTGTGTGAATTGGTGGAGTTGTGTTTGACTATGGATACAGATTGAAGTTGTTTTTTATTTTCTACGAGAGATTTAGAGTGAATTTACTTTTTTTTTTTATTGTTTTTTAAATTCTTGAAAATTCTGAAATTTCAAATTTTTGAGGACATATGTTGATTTTTTTGGAGGTTGGTCATGTAAAGGGGCTTTTTGTGAGTAATTTGGAGTGAGTTTACTTTTTTGTTGTTTTTTAAATTCTTGAAAATTCTGGAATTTCGAATTTTTATGGTCAAATGTTGATTTTTTGGAGGTTGGTCATGTAAAGGGGCTTTTTGGGAGTAATTTGGAGTGAATTTACTTTTTTGTTGTTTTTAAAATTCTTGAAAATTCTGAAATTTCGAATTTTCATGGTCAAATGTTGATTTTTTGGAGGTTGGTCATGTAAAGGGGTTTTTTTCGCTTTTTAGTTATGTTTCATTATGAAATTTTAAGAAAAAAGTAGCTTTTGTTTTCAAAGTTAAAAAGTGTTTTTTGAAAATTTGTGTTTATTTGTGAATACAAATTGGAGTTGTTTTTGAGTTTTTGTGAGTAATTTGAAATGAAAACACTTTTTTGTTGTTTTTCAAATTCTTGAAGATTCTGAAATTTCGAATTTTCATAGCCAAATGTGTTTGTCGGAGCTATGATGACCTATTCTGTTTTAACTTTAGCTACTCAGAAATTTAAACAATGGATGTTGTTTTTCTGTCTTCCCAAATCAATTTACCTATGTCTCCATGTGTGGCGTGATAAGCTAAGAACGGCCACTAAGGGCCCGATTTATCCTTCTTTCCGCAACTAACCCTTTCATTCTATTTCATACAGCCTTAACTTTGAAAAAAAGTGAAAACATTCTTGGTTGACAATGAATGATACATATATACTTTTTACTAGTAATTACATTCTGTATGAGTTTTTCTGGTGTACTTTATAAAAAGTTGAAAGCTTTAAGATTTTGACTCTGTTCTATACAAAACAAGTTGAGGTTTTTTCAGCTGCATTAAGTAAGTGTAGTCTCGGTAGAGTGCACGTAGATTTGACTCCTACCTACTATAGTATGGACGCACTCATAAGTCATATCTACTACCCTTTTACCATAATTCATGCCCTTCACGCCTTTTTATCTAAAGCCACGTCTTCGATGAGCTGCAACTGTGTCATATCCTGTCCAATCTCATTTCTCCAATACTTTTTCGGTCTATCTCTATCTCTCCTGAATCCGTCTAAAGCCAACCTCGCTCACACCTCCGTGCTGGGATATCCGTGCATCTCCTCATTTTGTGCACTACTGTTGATGAACCATGTCTACTAACTACTCTTGTTTTGGTTCTATATATAAACTTCATTGCATATTTTTGGATCAAGTTGAAAGTTTACATAACTTTGTTTTTTTCTGAAATTCACTTCTAAGGTTGATTCACTAAAGATATAATGCTAAATCATTCTCAACACGCGGTGATTAAAACGATTTTTTTTAAACATATAATCACTTAACCATGATCAAGTAATAAACGTGTATGAAAGTCACGTCTTATGTATTCATTGGCTTGATGTAAACGCGTCCTACAAAACCTTAGTTGATATCTTCTTGATTGTGTATGTCCCATTGTGTTTACGACATGTTTATTCTTGCAGTCTGGTTGCTGCAAACCATCAAATGACTGCAACTTCACCTACGTGAGCACGACTAACTGGACCAAGAGTTCAACCTCATCCTTCACCAATCCTGACTGTAACCTATGGAGCAACGATCCGAATGTGTTGTGTTACACCTGTGAATCCTGCAAAGCCGGGCTGTTAGACAATATCAAGAGTGACTGGAAAAGGGTGGCTATACTCAATATCATATTCCTTGTTTTCCTCATTCTTGTTTACTCTGTTGGATGTTGTGCTTTTAGAAACAATAGGCGTCATGATTCATATAAGCGTTATCCTTAAGAGTATATACTGTCCTTTTGATCAGTTCATCAGACTCTTGTTGCGTATTATATGGAGTATAAGACCGTTTAGTATGTTTCCATGATCTTGAATGTACAGAGGAGTACTATTTGTTCGAGTTCTGTTGGACTAGTTGATTCCTATTGATACACGAGCTCGTTGTTTAGAACATGTTTTATTTCAGTTGAACAAACGATTGTTTTTCATTTAACAACCGTCATCAGCTCTTGGCTTGTTACCTGTTGGTAAGGTAAGAGGTTCAAGTCGAATTTAGACACTAGCAATGTGGTATAGACATATATTTGTCATTCCTGTTATAGCACGCTTATCATGTATGCTGTAACTGGAATGACAAATACCGCGCTAAATTAAGAGGAACTAGCAAGAGATATCGAATACTGATTGATGACATATGGAATAGAGCGAATTGAGACTTAACTATTCATCCAATGTTTTACCAGTTTTGGAGTCAATCGAGCTATTGCTAGAGATTTTCATTCGTCTATTAAATAGTTAAGTTAATCGCATCAAATTTATGTGATTAACTTAACTATTTAATAGACGAATGAAAACTTCTGGCAATAGCTGGACTTGTCTCCAAAATTAGCAAAATATTGGATGAATGGAGAAGTATTGCAGAAAATATAAGTTCATTTAGCAAGCAGAGATGTGTGATCATCACGTTCCTTTTGATATTTCATTCTTACTGACCAAATCAATGTATAAATTACAATATTTTTTCTATTATATCCTTGATAGTTAATTAGTCTTGAAAGTATATATTTGACCAATCTAGGATTACTTCAAACATTGATTAATTACTCTCGTCATTGCATTACTCTATAAAACCTGATTTTGAAAAAGAAATCTCAACAAACAAATTAAATATAAAAGATGAATTTACTTATCATTTATTAAAAAGTTGACTTCAAAAAATCATTAAATAAGGATATAATTGTAAACTTACTTAGTTTTATAATACAAGTGAAATCTAAAAATGTGACGTATAAAAAGAAACGGAGGGAGTATAAACTTGTCCCTTATATTTAAGCAGTATGATATTAATATTCATCAAATTAATGAGCTATCAATGTACTACTATAAGTTAATTAATTTTGTTGAATGATATTTAATTGCATTTAGGCAATTAATAGTATCAATCTATATTTTCTCTATTCTCAAAAGTCAAAAGTGCTAACTATACTATTGATCAGTAGAAATATATGCTGAGCTATTCATTGAAAGCAGAAACCAACAATTTCGAAGAAAGTATATAATACCTACGTCCAATAATAACTTTGATTAATATTTTACGATGTCTGTTTTCTCATATTGATATGTAAAAAATTGGAATTTATAGTACTTTTCGTATAATTTTTGAATATCTAAATTTTTTGTTTAAAATATCGAATTAATGTAATCTAATTTAACTTTGAAAATTAGTCAAATTGACTTTTGAAAAGCGCATGACAATTAAAAGTGGACGGAGGGAGTATTTTCTTATAAAAGACGTAATATCCCAAGATGCATATTTTAAAATGTGCTTTACGTTTGTGTCATATTGATATCGGTGGCGAAGTCAAGAATTTAGCGAAGAATGTAATGCTGTTAAAAATTTGCAAAATTAAATACACATTCATAATAATGTTACTTATGTACGTATTTAGAGGCGGACCCACCCCCTCTAGGTGGTGGTGCACGTGCACCCGTTAACTTCAGAAAAAATCATGTATATATATGTATATCTATCTTGACAAACTGACAGAAATTAAGATAATATAATTAATAGTACACCCATGAAAATCATAGGATTGTCATTGTGTTGCTGGTACAAGCTAAATGATCCATAGTTAGAGTGTTTATTCCATTGTTTTTAATTTAAGTTTATCTTAGAACTCATATTTGAACTAAAGATAATATTGATGCACCCAAAGTTTTCAAATCTTGAGTTCCTCTCTATTAACGTACCCCACATAATTTTTTGACATAATGTGTGCACCAGATCACCGTTCGCCTAAGATGGTTCTGGCCATGATTGTTGTTCACAATTCAAAGCTAACAGAGGTTCTAAACAACCTTCACCAAACAATTAATTCATCAAAAGTGTTAATTTAGCAATACTAGCAAGTCATTATAAAATATATTAGCTTGGGTAACTTATATATCTATATATAAAATAGGGATAAGGGTCTGAAAAATATCCCAACTTTGGGCGGATTTGTTGTTGCGATACTAAACTTTCATAAGGACCTATTACCTCCCTAGACTATTTAATACCGTATTTTTTACCCCCTTAACTATTTAATAGTGTATTTAAAGGTATATATGTGCCCACGTGGACACATTACTATTTATAATTTTGCATTATTTTTATGTCCACGTGGGCAAATATATATGTTTAAAATACGGTATTAAATAGTCTAGGGAGGTAATAGGTCCTCATGAAAGTTTAGTATCGCAACAACAAATTAAATCCGACCAAAGTTAGGATATTTTTCTAACCCTTATCCCTATAAAATATGAACTTAATTAATTGCCAACATTGTTTCTCTCTCTCCAAATTAAAATTGGTTCATTTACAAAACTATTTAATACTTTCGTGATATAATAAGACGCCTACATGATTAAAATATCTTTTTAAAAATTCGAAACAACTTCAGTATTACTTTTATGTCTTTCTAAAAAAAAATAAAGAAAATAAGTGCAGGTAATGACACCCATCCATGGCTAACATGGTCAATTAAGAGAGTCGATCGACCACCAATATTCATATATAAATATATATAATATTACATATTTAGGTTAAGGACGGTGAACAATATTCATCATGAGTGATACAACTAATTTCCACCCATAAAGAATTAATGAAACGAACAATATATTTTTTAAGATGGCTCAATTGTCAAATATGAATATATACTATATTTCATAGATTTAAAAAATATTTGAATTTTTTTTTTCTTAAACTCTGTCTTATTACCTCGTATTATTACTTTATGCACGTGGAGGACCCCGTAACAATTAGTATCCCATATGAACGTTCACTTTTACTGGTTCACAATGCACTTTCTTTTAAAAAAAAATTAATATGCATATTTTAACATAATGTCATAACTATCACCAGTAGTTTAAACAATCTTAGAAAAGTGATTTTGAAAATTAATAGTTAATGTTAAGGTAACAATATGATTTTTTTAATCTTTCACAAAAATAAATTTATTTTTTTTGAATACCGTGAACACGTTAAAACTTAAATAAGGAAGTATAAATCATTTAGTTTGGGAGGTGGAGTGCTGGTAAGAAATTAAAGGTGAAGACTCACAAGGAAAGTTTCCAAATTTAGGCTAGACTTATTGAAACAATATTCTCCTAATTAAACAAACGTATCGTAATTGTCTTTTGGATTAATTCGATATTTATTAAACAAACGTATCGTAATTAGATTAACAGAAGTGAGCACTCACAAGTCGAAAATTCTAAATCCGTCACTGCTTAATTCTTGTGTTCCATTTAATATTAATAGTAAAAAAATTCCTTATCCTTGAAATATTATTATTGCGTTAGTCTTGCACTTGACAATATCGATTTCTTTTTAATGTTGTGAAATTAATTAGCTGCCTAGTGTCAATGAAAGCCATCGACCCGTTTTGACACACTTCCCTATACTTCTACTAAGTAACATCAAAATATAGAAGCAATCATATATGTTACATCCTAGCTAATTCTATGGTAATCACAAGAGGGTTATTCTTGCACTTCTTTAAAAACTTCTGGTTATGATAATGTTATCACGTGTTACCTTAATTGGTATATTGATTAAACACCTTCGTATAAAATAAAATAGATGGTGGTGTACAAACTTTAAAAACCATCCTAATAAAGAGCACACATGTCAAAGGTATGTGAAAGCCAACCCAAATTATAGTTGGCCATGCCTACAAAGTATAAACACATTAATCAAATATTATATTATATTATATTATATTATATTATAGCAAGTCAACTTATACGACTGTACACTAAAATTAAATTGTACCAATTAATAATGTTGCACTAAAATTCAATAAGATTATTAATTCTTCTTCCTTTTAACTTTCCTTTTCCTCATCTATATATATATTCAACACTAGTCCATGTTCTTCACAAAATATCGATACAAAATAGTTGAGAATATATAATATTTTTCCTTTCTATATATATAAAATCAATTGTGGCTTTCAAACAATAAGAATCTTACCCTATTGTGTTACTTATTTTTCATAAATATGGAAGGTCCATTGTCAACTTGGCCATGGGAGAAATTGGGATGTTTCAAGGTACATTTTTAACGAGTTAAGATGTTTGTCTATGTATTAATTAATTCAACCTTTTAGCATTCGATTTTTTCTTAGTGAATAATGTTTATATGTTTTTTGGAACAGTATTTATTGTATGGACCATTTGTTGCAAAAGTGATGTATTCAAGATTTCAAGAAGATAGCATCATGGCAACATGGTGTTTACATGTTCTTATATTATGTTCACTTAGAGGTCTCATTTATCAACTATGGTCCTCTTTTAGTAACATGTTGTTTTTAACTCGAAATCGACGTATTATAAAACAAGGTGTTGGCTTTAAACAAATTGACGAAGAATGGGATTGGTACGTATATAGTTAAATCTTCAAGATCATATATACAGAAATTAGCTACAAAGTTCGTCGCTGAATATATACCTAGAGCTAATGTTGTTGTTTTTTGTAATTTTTTCAGGGATAATTTTATACTCCTTCAAGCTATAATGGCTAGTTTAGCCTATTACACATTCCCAAATATTATTAATATTCCAATTTGGAATTTAAATGGCTTCATAATGATCATAATCCTCCATATAGTATTTTCAGAACCACTTTACTATTACTTACATAAATTATTCCATGGAAGTTATCTTTTCAGAAATTATCATTCACTTCATCATTCATCAGCCGTACCACAACCTTTTACAGGTAAATTAACGAATCATATATTTTATTTCCCTATTTAATTTTTCTAACGAATTGAAAAATTAATTTTTATTTTATAATTTTTTCAGCTGGTCATGCTACATTTTTGGAGCAAATCATATTAGGTGGAGTGATTGGAATTCCAATTTTAGGGTGTTATGTCATGGGATATGGATCAATAGCTATGATTTATAGCTATGTATTGGTTTTTGATTTCTTAAGATGTTTGGGGCATTGCAATTTTGAGATTATTCCTCATCAACTATTTCTTGCCTTTCCATTTATGAAGTATCTCATTTACACTCCAACGTAAGTTGATGCTAGCGCGCTTATAATCAATTCGTTATAATTCATAAAAGATTGTTAGACGCTCTGTAACAATAATTAACCATTCAATATTAATATTTTATATTTGCAGGTATCACAGCCTACATCACACAGAGATGGGAACAAATTATTGCCTTTTTATGCCACTTTTTGATGTTATAGGCAACACACTTAACCCAAAATCTTGGGAAATGCACACAAAAGCAAGTATTCAATCAGGTAAAATATAGTCTCTCCGTCTTATATTAGATAAACATCTTACTAAAAATAGTTATTCGATATAATTACTTGATCATTTACTAAATCAAGATAGAATTAATTAATTTTTTTTTATTTTACTCCTACAATTAATATGACCTTTGGAAGTTTAAATAATTCCTAAATGTTAGCTATTCCTATATTTTATGTATATTTTTTAAACTTATTTTTATGTGCATTTTTTCTTATGGTAACGATAACTTTGTATTTTTATGTGCATTAATATGAACAAGGAACAAAATAATTATATTGATTAATTTATTAATAATTTTTTAATTATCGTGTAAAATAAAAAGAAGAGAGAACACATGTTTTTTTCCTAGGAACTCAATTTTTTTTTCCAGAAGTACATGGTCTCATAGCAAAGTTATGAGTACATTAAATTTGATTGTACATACGTGTTTTCCCAAGTGACTCAAAGTACATATGTCCATACTTTTATGGAGTAAAATAGTAGTAATAGTTAAATTTAGAGTTTTGAAGCATTATTAATAAAGTTAGTTCTGTAAAATATATTTTTAAATAATTTTTTTTAAAGAATACACTATATATATAGTTTGTCATGTCAACGTAAGTCAAATAATATAAAATGGATCGAAGTGATGAATATATATTTATCTTTTTAAGAAGCTAGTACATGCCGGTAGTTGCACCAAAATAAATTTTAAGTAGTTGTACTTTGGTGACTATAGTACTAAATCAAGCCTATCCACCGTTAAAAACAATGCAAAAATCCATAAATAGAATTGGTCCAAAAAATCGAGGGAAAATCGATCCTGTCTATATATTTTACTTTATTTTTAAAAAAATTAAGTAGTTAACGGACGATCCGCTGGTTTTTCATTCACGCAAAATATTATTTTATTTTAAATTATTATTTTTTAAACAAAGTCGATGGAGTCCCTCCATTGTTTTTTTTTACAAAAATCAACATACATGATTGATTTATAAAGTGTAAAATTACGATTGAAGAGTATAAATAAAAACGATAGAATCAAAAATCATGTATGGACAAGTAATAAAATTTTCCAAAGTCATATAATTTCAAGTAGTTACATTTTTATGTATATTTTTTTTAAAAACCAACGAACAGAGTACTATCCATCGATTTGACATTGATTTTCCCTATAAAAAAACTGAGTCTATCTGTCGATTTTTAACCATTTTTAAGTAGTGATCATCAGGTCTTGATAAATTCGGTCCTATATATAAAGAAAGAGCTCCCATCTTTTTGCTCCATATTGATAAGTACTCGAACTCACAATCATCAGATTTAAAGTGAGATTGAGATGTTTACCATTCGAGCAAGTCTCTGTTGTCACATATTAATCATAATTCCTATGTTGTTTTTGCAGGTACAAATAGTCAAGTACCAAATTTTGTGTTCTTAGCTCATGTAGTAGACATAACATCAGCCTTACATGTACCATATGTATTTAGATCATTTAGTTCAATTCCATTCACAACAAAACTCTACATTATCCCCTTATTACCCCTTTCATTCTTAGCCATGATTATCATGTGGCTTTACTCTAAACCCTTTTTAAACACATTTTATTACCTAAACAACTACTTACACCAAACTTGGGTTATACCAAGATTTGGTTTCCAATATTTTTTACCATTTGCAACAAATGGTATTAATAACCAAATAGAGCTAGCTATACTTAGAGCAAATAAATTAGGTGTTAAAGTAATTAGTCTTGCAGCATTAAACAAAAATGAAGGATTAAATGGAGGTGGAACATTATTTGTTAATAAATATCCTAATCTTAAAGTGAGAGTTGTACATGGAAATACATTAACAGCAGCAGTTATCCTTAATCAAGTTACTAAACATGATGTTAATGAAGTTTTCTTGACTGGAGCAACATCTAAACTTGGAAGAGCTATTGCTCTTTACCTTTGTACTAAACAAGTTCGTGTTCTTGTAAGTATATTTAATTAACTTAATTAATTATGTTGTTTAGTTTTAAAAAAATTTAAAAATTATTTGTTTATTAATGTATGTATTATGTGTTTTGTTTTAATTTTTCAGATGTTAACTTCATCTACTGAAAGATTTCAAAAGATACTTAAGGAAGCTCCATATGAAGATCAAAAATACCTTGTTCATGTCACAAAGTATCAGGCAGCTAAACATTGCAAGGTAATTTATTTGACTATATTTTCCCACTGAAAAATGTTCGATGGCTATTCTACCAGATATTTTGATTGAATGTGTAAGAAAGGAAAAAATAGTACTCACTCTTGTCCATATTAAATGAATTATATTGTTGAGACTTGTTTTTATAGTCCAAAATAAGTGAATTATTTAAAGTTCAAGAAAATAATTGGGACTTTTTTCCATATTTATCCTTCATCATGAGATTCTTAAATACTTTATATTTTTAACAAAATAGTTTGAGAATAATTAAATGGGTAACAGTGAAAAGTGGCTTTTTTTTTTTTTTTCCTTAAATATTTTTCTTAAGGGGTGTGTCATACCCCAATAATTCACTTAATATGAACTAGAGGGAGTAATGTTTTCAAATGGAAAAATTAGGAAGTTTCCTATTATTTTAGTGAGAATCTATTTCTCACCATGCTTTTTTCTCAGCAATTAAGTTGGTTAACTAGAAAATGAATGGAAAAATTATAGAAAATCATATTCTATAACACAAATTTCCCACTGATTCATGATGGAAAAAACTTTTGTTTCTAGTAGTGAATTAATCAAAGCACCTTCTTATATATTTCTTATTGTTAATTAATAATTCCAGTGGTGCAGCCACATCTATAGCCTAGGATGGCCAATTGGACACCCATCATCGAAAAATTATACTATATATGTAGAAAATTGTACGAAATATATTGATCAAAAATTATTTTTCATACATATATATTAAATCTTGGACACGCTTAATAAAATTTCTGACTTTGCCACTAATTATAACTCTAATTGTATATTTTGGTTTGTATATATAGACATGGATAGTTGGAAAATGGATAACACCAAGAGAGCAAAAATTTGCTCCAGTAGGTGCACATTTTCATCAATTTGTGGTACCTCCTGTTTTGCCCTATAGAAGTGATTGTACATATGGTGATCTTGCTGCCATGAGATTACCTCCTCATGTTAAAGGACTTGGATCTTGTGAGGTAATTAATTAATGACTAATTATTCTCATAATACATAATTAATACCTAAGTTGTTCAGACTCTCCAAAATTGTTGATGCACCCGTATCAGATCCTCTAAAAATATTGCACTACTTTTCGAGGATCTGACACACATAACTCATCGACAGTTTTGAAGAGTCTGAGCAACGTAGATTAATATGTCTGATTAAAGTTTATTTCTATATATATAGTATACAATGGAAAGAGGAGTTGTACATGCATGTCACGCAGGAGGAGTTGTACATTCATTAGAAGGATGGACTCACCATGAAGTTGGGGCAATTGATGTACAAAGAATTGATTTAGTTTGGGAAGCTGCTTTGAAACATGGATTAATGCCTGTCTCAAGTTTTAAAAAGACTGATTAATAAGTTAATTACTTTTTATTTCATTAAGTAACAAATATTCCAAATTAATTCAAGTTTCCAATTTGTAAGAATTATTGTAATTTGGGATTGCTAGATTTATATTTATAAGTTGGATTTATGGACTACATATAAGTCCATATATATATGTTTTATGATTTCATTATGGATATTCAGAAATTTGAATTAACTTCATGATTCTGTACTCTTCATTATTTCCTCCGTGCTAATTTATGTCGTACTTTTTTTATTTTAAGATTCAAATAAATTTTTTTTTAATCGTAACTTTTTTCAAATATATATTTTTTAATATCTTGAATTATCAGAAAATTTAAAGATTTTATATCTGAATTTACGATCAAAATCAATTGTTTTGACTCTCGAAATTCAAACGATGCCATATAATTTACACCATCATGTTATAAATAGGGATGACAAATGAGTGAATTATCCGATTTTGATGAATTGAATATGAATTGAGCTAAAATAAATTGAATTCCACCATATAAAAAAGGAGAATTAAGCCCATGCCTCGTAGCATTAAAAAATTTATCACAAATACCCTTTACTTTTTGTGTCTAATAAGTGTAATTTTTCCTTAATTAAATCTTCATAGCAAGTCTTACATGTGAATTATTCTAGAAAATAGAAGAGTAACTTGCACAAACGATTAATATAACTTATTGTAAAGTTTAACTCTATGCTGGAAGTTGCGAGTTATGTTGGTATTAAATTTTACATCAAATTAATTAACCCTATCATTTCAGAATGAATCTCATTGTCCCATGAACGTAGTAGGTCTTCAATAATATCATCACTTGAAGAAGATCCATTAAGCAATTCCTTCACTCTTCTATACACCATTGTTGAGTTCCCAATAACCTACACACAAATTAAAAAGGTGTCAAAATGAGATTTATTTTATCCTTTACGATGAGCCTTTCTAACGTGAATTTATTCAATTAGTCCCCAAAGCGGTACAGGGTGGAAAATCAGAAAATAAAACTAGCTAGTCCCTCTATTTCCATTTAGTTGTCAGGATAAGATTTTGCACAATCATTGAGAAAAAATTAATTAGGAGTATAATCGGGCTAATATATCTCTTATTAATTCGTTAGTTTTTTATGTTTACATGTCTCTTAATTCTTGAATAATTAATGCTAAGGACAAAGTTAGAAGAAAATAATTACTCCTCTCTTGATTTTTTAAAATTGATTTGTTTATAGTTCCAATCCTATCTATTTTTTTACTTGTTCATGTTTGACTTGACACACCATTTAAGAAACACTTAATCAAATCATAAGTTTACACTTTTGAATTTCTAAGGCATAAATTAGAAAATCATTTAAAAGGATGCAAACATTTTCTCATCATATGCACGATGGTGTGTAGGTTGAGAATACAATTAAATAAATAAAAATATGCTCCTTTTAACCATTTAAATTTTAAATAAGCACACACTTCAACCATATACAAAGAATTGAACTTTAAAACGTCTCTTTTATCCTTAATAATTTGATTTATAGCCACACAAATATCTCATGATTGTTTTAGACCACTAATTTCAAAGATCTTCTTTTATTTCTTAATTTGTATCACATAAATTGAAACAGATAAAATATTATGCATACCTTAGTTTCATGGAAAACTTGCATCTTAGAGTTCCCATGAAGTGAAAAGCTGGAATCCATTACTTCAAAACCTTCCTCATGGAGTAACCTAATTATGTTATAAAACATAGCTAAATTATCAAGGCCAGTAATCAAAATTAAGTCCATTGTTGGGCTCATTTCTTGTATTTCAATCTGAGGTGATAGTAAATTGGGCCTAGTCCTTAAATTTTCCAATTGCATTTTGCTCTTCTCCAATTTGATTTCCATGCTTTTTATGTAAGTTATTGCTGCATCTATTTGATCTGGCAATGCCATTGCTTCCTGCAACTAATTTTCATGCAAACACATAAGTATGTCACAAGAGTACTTTTGGTACGATAAATTCTAATTTTGATCCTCGTGATATATGACACATTTAACTTTTGAGTGATTACTAGTCCCTTTGTGTAGTAAATAAGTTATATATATATATATATATATATATATATTACATCAAAAGACGATTTCAAACCTCTTAATCACATATGCTAGTGTTACGTGTTTTGATTCATATATAATTTAAACTCGATGAATCCAACCAACATTATATTTGTAGTTGTGGGTTCAAAACTTAATAGAGCATCTACTTACATTCTTCTAATAATTCACATATGCATCTACATACAAAAAAGGGAAAATGGACAAATATATCATGAACTATCATAAATGGTATGCAAATACCCTCCGTCATATTTTTGGTACATTGGTGCCCTCGACGTCTAAAAAACTAGAGCATATATGCCCTTCACTCAAACGGAAGACTAAATAGGGACACGTGGCACAATCTTATCCGTTGATCTGATATTTAATAAATGTCGAGTGGGTGAATAAGTTATGACATGTGTATGTCAGTTAGTATAAATGATATATTTGCTCTAGTTTTGAGACGGCAGGGGCACCGATGTCCCAAAAATATGATGGAGGATATCTGCATATCATTTACGATAGTTAGGGGGTATATTTATCCTTTTCCCTAAAAAAAAATTAGATTAAGTTGAATTCACTATAAAATGATTTATTAAGTGTGAATTCAGATAATTAGTCAGACAATGAATTTTGAATAAAAGAAAAATATGATATTTTATATTGAAGGTTGAAGATGTTTACTATCTGAGCAACTCCATTCTGCACGTTACGAAAAAGATGATGATTCATAGTATAATATAATATAGAAATTAAAGAAAATACCTGAGAGGGATGAGGTGGGAGTAGGGAATAAAGGTTGTTAAAAAGGATCTTCATATTGTTCCTTCTATTCTTCTCCACATACTTTTTTTCCAATTTTGCTGCTGAATTACTACTATTCATTTTGTTATAAGTTTTTCTTCTATATCAAGAAATATTAAAATAATCTTTTGTGCTAGAAATTGGAGAGCAGTAGAGATATTTATTTATAGTTTTATTTACAAAAAGTTCTAAAATTAAGGTCAACAAGAAAAACATCAATTTTGTTGTGGTCAACAAGTAAAACGTCAATTTTGACTTTTTGAATGAATGCTGATTATATTATATATCTCTATCTCTCCTTCTCCCCCAATTTCTCAATCCTTTAATTATGTACCTTTCAATTTAATTTCGATTAATATTTATGACTTTCAATTTTAGAGTGCACGGGTAGATAATTAAATTATTATAAAATTGAATAAGTAGATATACATTTGAACTCGTCCTACATTGAAAATCATATGAGATTTTCTATGTAAGACACATATATATGATCTCTAATAAACTCATATTTAACTGGAACTCAAAATCTCATTTCTAATAGAATGAAGAAAAGGAAATAGGTTTTGGGGTCTATTGTTGGACCGAAAAAAAAAAGTGCCCACTTATAAGAATACTTTCTTCCCTAATTACTTGTCCACTTTTGAATTGACATACCTATTAAAAAAATAATAATTGACATAATGAGTTTATCATTTTACCCTTATTAATTATGAAGTGTGTGAATTAATAACTTAAGATTTTAAAGAAGTTCTACATTTTTCATAGTAATTAATTGAGGGTATAATAGATAAAAATATTTTGTCTTTTCTTAATTTGTCAAAATGGACAAGTAATTAGGGACAACTTAAAAAGGAAAAATAGACAAATAATTAGTTGATTTTGGGATCACTACAAAAGATTGCAGAACAAGAGTCAAACTTATTTCAAGATATCCTCTCACACTTCAAAAGGTATTCTTTCAATTTTTCTCATTCTACATGTTTGCTATCTAGTACTATATATGTAAAAAGGAGTAAAAATTTAGAAATATTTTCGCAATGTGATATTTTCAACACATACTATCTCATTAATCACTGATATGAGACTTTTTCATTTTTTAACAATTAAATTTAAATACACAATTTTATTACTAGTACAATATTAAGAATCTTCAAAAAACAAACTCATCAACTAAAAAAAATTCTGAATCCACCAACACATAAACCCCACACTCCTCTCCATAATTGGCAACTCCTTATCAATTGCTATTAGGGGCATTTCTTGGAAAGGTAGGCACTACTTTTGGACATGAAAAGACAAAAATACATTCAAAAATGGGGAATTTGCCTAATTAAAATCATTAGGAATTTACTAAAACGGCTATGAATTCAAAAGTTGATTTGCACTTTTGTTGTGAACGCATTGTAAATGGCCCGCGCCGGGAATCGACAACTGCACCAGCCAGGAATCGAACCCATATCTAGTGGCGGAGCCACCTTATCATTAGGGTTCATCTAAACCCCCTTCCGCAGAAAATTATATTATATTTACATGGTTAAAATAAATTTTTAGGTATATATAGTAGATGTCGAACCCCCTTCAGCTATTTCGTATGTCTATTTCTTCATATTTTAAACCCCCTTATCGAAAATTCTGACTCCGCCACTACCCACATTTGTACTGTGACAGGGTACTATTCTAGTACTAGACCACTAGTGCTTCTTGTATATAATTTTACAATTAGTTTTATTTTAATTTGCAATATTGAGCTTGAGCTTTATAAGTAGTGAACCAAAAAAATGAATTTTGTTTTCCCTTTGAAACCATGGTCATGCTGCATAGAAAATGAAGAACTATACATCTTTTTTCACACTAATAATCACACAAATTTAACAGATTAAAATAGTTACAAAATCAAAATGCTTTTACTGAAAACGAGTTTATTAGAATAATTACGTGCAGAAAATGCTACAAATATTGATGACTAAAATTGTAAATTACTCAAGGGTATGATACAATAATTTTCCTAAATAGTAATAGGACTATATAATAAGTTTCGATTTACTAGACCAGAAACATCCTAATAAAACATAAAAAAAATTAAAGAGCAATGAAACCAAATATTTCCACGCAAATAAAAAGAAATAAGGTTGTAAATCTCACCAAAATATTCTCTATAGAATTAAGACAAATAAATGCTACACAGATACAAGCAGTAAGTATGCTTTATTACTTATTTGTACTGATGCATATTAAGATATAATATATTAAATCGTTTCGTACCAAAAAAAGAAACATGAAA